CTACATCCTCCGCGAGACCTGTCCTGTCAGGAGTTCCACAGGGTTCAATATTAGGTCCCATACTGTTTCTGTTGTACGCGAACGACCTGCCGGATGCAGTAGAGCACTCCAAGGTCGCCTCCTTCGCCGATGACACGAAACTATTTAAGAAAGTTGATTCTACTTCCGATGCCATCTCCTTACAAAGTGACCTGAGTAGTTTGGAGAACTGGTCAACATCTTCTGGCCTTGTCTTCAACCAAGACAAATGCAAATGTCAGCGTGTAACAAGGAAAAAGAATCCTATCAAATATGAATATAATATCAATAACAAGTCCCTGGTGGTCACCGAAAAAGAGAAAGATTTAGGTATATGGATTACGGACACGTTAAACTGGTCATACCATACCCTCGATCGCTGTGCGAAGGCAAACAAAATGCTTGGTTTCCTGCATAGGGCTGCAACGGAAATTACAAATGTTAAGATACGCCGCACACTGTACCTATCAATTGTTCGCTCAACGCTAAGTTACGCCACTCAAGTCTGGTCACCACAATCGATCGACTTAATTACGAGGACAGAACGCATCCAACGACGAGCTACAAAGTTCATTTTGAAATTACCATACGTGTGTGGAGAAACGTACAAAGAGAGACTGATCTCCTTAGACTTACTACCAATCACCTACTGGCACGAGTACCTTGACATCATGTTTTTCTTTAAAGCTGTAAACAACATTATAACTGTCTCGAACGAAATCCTTCCGCAGCCAATTATTCCATCAAGACTCACTAGAACCTCGGTTGACACCAACCTGCTCTCCTTCCGTCCTCGCAAATGCAAGACGCTGACATACCAACGCTCTTTCTTCATCAGAGTAATAAGAACTTACAACTCTCTGCCAGAAAATCTAAGGCAAAAAGATCTCTCACTGGTACGATTTAGAACATTGTTGCTGGACTACTACCACAACGCTGCCAAGACATCTTATGATGTAGACGATGCCAGAACGTGGAGAACAGTCTGCTTAAAATGCAACACATCACGAAAACTCGTGCAACCATTAACGTGTTGCTATTAGTACATGTATACTATCAATTATGAGTTTCAATTTATATATTAGTTGTGTGTTTTCTGTATCCAAGGGCCCACAGTAATTGGTTTTAAGCTGTTGTGGTGACCCCGCCTTTTTGTTGTTGTCACCTTTTTGTCCAACCTTGAAACGTGGAGGCTGGGCGTATTTGCTGCGTTTCGATATGTTTTGTCTAGGTCTATGCCAAGTCATGTTGGGCTCATAAAAATCAAGCTATTCTAAAATGAATATAATTGTAAAATTAAACCGTCCTAGGTTAGCGGTCAAGGGTGTATGTTTTTGTTTTACTATCGTTCGAAAAATAGACAGGGGCGCTGAAGTTTGCTCGTTTTCGGGTTGGACAGAAATGGTTGTGTGTACGTGTTGTTTGATTGTGTAATTATAGGCGAAGCTAAATAAATAAAAAAAATAAATAAATAAGTATAGGTAATAGCATGGTTTCGAGTGCAATTTGGATATAACATGCACGAGTGAGTTTTCAAAGACCTCAAAATAGCACGAGTCCAAAGGACGAGTACTATTTCAGGTCTTTGAAGAACTCACGAGTGCATGTTTATCCAAATTTCACGAGAAACCATGCTATTACTTATTAATAATTTACATAAAAATGTTCGAGACAATTGTAGTTTTAACTTACGCGTTTATAGTGAACATTCCACTGGCAAAGTTTTCCTGGCTTTGTTTAATATCACATTATACAACGCTAGCAGCTTGAAAATTTCACTCAACTATGTAATTTTTGTTAGTCTTGTTTAGGGTAAATGCTTTTCCATTTAAAAATAAAGATAAAAGCCATATTTTCCACGCGAAGGTGATTTAATCATCACATTTTTTTTTCACCAATCAGATCAGTTTGTTACAGATTTTTGCACTGTAATTACAGAAAATTGCACTGTGATTACAAAAAATTGCACTGTGATTACAAAAAATTGCACTGTGATTACAGAAAATTGCACTACTGTTTGGGATTAACTGTACTGAAATCAACCAATCACAGTCGAGTAATATCTTTATGTATATTATTAGCAGTGTTAAATTTCGTCTGACTCGACATAATTAACAATTATTCGCCGAAGGCGAGGTGATTATCGGTGAATAAAAACCGAGACGAAGTCGAGGTTTTTATTCACGATAATCACCGAGCCTGAGGTGAATAATTGTTTTAGTATAATTTTATAGGTGTTTTTCACATTCACTTGATCACAAAGTATAGGATATTTTCTTTTGCATTTTAGCCGGCGAGCAGTAATTTCACGATTTCGTAGTTTGTATAAATGGTCTCGCATTCTGGCATTTTTCATGTATTTGGGCTAAGCCCCCCCCCCACTTTTACTTCTGGGGCAGCTAAAGCCCCCATAGCCCCCACTGTTCCGCCCCAACTGTAGTCGACGAGTATTTGTGCTCAAGCTAGTCTGCGTTCCACACTTCCAAGTGATTGTTGCCCTTCACGTGGAGGTAAAGTGTGTCCTTGTAAAAAATCCTTATTTATGCATGGCAAGCGAACTGTAAAAAATAGTCTATGCATGGCAGAAACTCCCTGCCCCTCCCCTTTTCTGATAGTCCCTTTATAATGAGTTCTGGCTATATGTTTCATCGAATTTTGTAACCACTTTTGTTCTATTGACTACGGTTAATTAGCTTGCTTAACAAGTCCTTATGACACTTAAATAATATTCCAAATTCAAGTTAAAGATTGGTAGTTGTCCTCCACATCTCTGGTTTTGCTCAACTGCGTGTAAGTAGAGTCATCGTCATTTGTAGCGTCATTACATACGGCGGCATTCACTCTCAACGACTGATAGTTATCTTCTGTGTTCATTTTTGAAAGATCAAGCTCCTGGTAAGTTGTATCAGCTTCAGTTGTCTTTGTTTCAGGGTTTCGTTCAGGCTTCCTGTTTCTAAACCAACGACTACGCGAATACGAGACAATGTAGGAAAAGAAAATTCCAAGAATAAATCCAGACACCAACGACAGAACAATATGCCATACTACAACAGTTCCAGAACTTTCACAATCCACTTTGGAACTTGTAACCTCTCCTGAAGGAACATTTGGAGAATTGATGAGTTAGAAAATTAGCTAAACCCAATGACATTTAATAATGCAATTCCTGAAAGGAAAACTAGTATTAGGCCAATGAATAAAACTGATTTTCAGATATTTTCACCTTAAAATCTCACGACAATTATAGTCTTCATTGGAGGGAATGAGTATATACGCGATCTAGTTTTATATGATGATGGTGAATACTGTGAAAAGGTTTTTTTTTTCGGTCTTTTTCAGGAAAAATTAACTAAATTAACGGAAGTAGCCTGTGAATTTGGCTGGCTGCTTCACGTGTAAAATAAGTTAAGATAAATGGCCCTGTCGTATACTTCGTATTACCTGATCCATTATCGTACTTGCTTGTATTTGGTATTGTTGGTAGCTGTGTTGGTTGTCCTCTCTCTAATTCACGAATTGCAAATAAAATTATATAATGAAACGAAATTTTCTTTAAGAAGTCCTATATGCGAAAGAAAGTTGTACATTGTTTGGTAAACAAAAGATTACTAAAGATTAAGTATCAACTTGCAAACATAACTCAATAACACTGTATACGGTACCTCCTTCCTTTAAATACATACATAATTTGCTGAAATAATTTGCTGAAACTATATTAAATACTCATTCCAACAATCAAAATTCAAGATACTACATATGCAATTATTGTAACTAAAGTCATTAGAAATAAATATGTATATGCATTCATTACATCGGGTTGTATTATTGACTAGCCGTCTCAGTAATAGAACATAATATAGTTGTAGATAGAATTTTTCTCAGTACTATAATAATTATATCATGGTTATGTCTATATATAATAATAGAATTATGCCCCAATTCAAGCCAAAATTTAAGTATTTGCTCATCCCCTGTATACCAATTATATTTTTCCTTTCCCTGTTTCCTATACGTGTGTTTCGTCCGGTTGCGTCTTAGAATCTTATCTTACCTTCAACCTTTAGAAAATCAGAAGCCAAATTATATCCACGTTCATTCATTGCAATGCATGCATACACTCCAACATTGAATTAAAATCTTACCTGTGACCTTTAGAACTTCAGAAGCCGTATCATTTCCACGTTCATTCCCTGCATTGCATTCATACACTCCAGCATCAGTCCACGCCACGTCGTTATCGGTATACGTCTTGGCATTAATTAGATGACTACCATTATGGGATATGGTATAACTTGGTTCAGGAAAACCACGAGAGTTACACGTTATGGTGAATGATCGACCCAATATGGCTGGGTTTGGTTTCAACTCAATGGATGTGTCTTTTGGTCCAACTGTGAAGGAACAAAACAGCGTTACTTGCTAGTTCGTTTATGAATCAGTAATACAAGTATTAATTATTAACATGTGTTTGAAGAAAAGTTAAATTGCTCCACCGTTTATTCTTCTATAAGTATCTGAACACATGACCATATGAAACAAAACATATTGGAAATTTTCGGATTTTTAGCATCTCATCGCACAAAAAAAGAGTGGTAAAACTAAAATCTAAAGGTTTACGCCGTAACTTCTTTTTGTCAGATCCTAAATATAGTCATCACTCATAGGCCATGCACAATACTCAAAATTTGAATCATTAACTACATCTGTCATCATTGCACAGCCAATTAGAGGGTCACACTCATGCTCACACTGCATCCATGTAAATCCATGTATTTATTTGAGTAAGGAGGGATTTGAATTTAAATTCATACGCACGTTCTTTGAATATAGAGTTGGAACTATTTAACTTAAATATCAATCATACTTACATTTAACATCTACTCTGATTGATTTTTCATCCCTGTGCATTGTACTTGGGTAGCTTTCGGTCACACACTTGTAAGTTCCTCTATCTGTTTCATCAACGTTCATCAGAGTTAATATTTGCTTTTCCGTCCCTGTTCCGGCAATCTTCTTGCCATCTTTGTACCAAGTTACACTGGCTGAAGGGTTGCCACCTAGTCCTTGACATTCACATGTGAAGTCATCACATTCATTGAATATGACGGAACTGTAACAAGTCAATGTCACAGTTGGCTTTTCTGAAATGTAATAAAATAATGTGTAGTAAGACGGTACGAAAAAAAAAGCACATTGTCATTATATGTATATAAGCTATAGCCTCAAATAAAAATATATATTTCATTTTGTTAAAGATATTAAATAACATTAATAAAAATAGTAAAAATATTTCATATGAATTTGCATTCACCACTGGCACGGAGTTTTATATGCCAATTATTTATACTTAATTTCGCGATTTTTTCGAGGCAATATTTCGGGAGACTTTACTTTCGCGATTTTGCATGACAGGCGAAAATAGAAAAAGGGCATTAAATTTCACCAAAGCTTTCTGGACAACATTTTATTTTCTGTAAAATTCTAAACTTTCCAAACAAGTTAAAACATAAGAATAAGTTATAACATAAGAATAAATTATAGCATATAATATAATATAGAATTGATAATTGACAGTGACATGCACAGATGAAGATTAACAGATGTTTTTACTCATCTTTAATTATTGCTGGTAACAAGACATGATGCAAACTATAGCTTAATATTAAGACCATTATTAAGTAACTTTTCTTGACTAGGGTATGGGTATTCAGTAATTTCGCGCGTGTAAATTTCGCGAGGTTTTTTATTCGCGCGACTTTAATTTCACGATTTTTCTACAATCGCGAAATTAAAGTCCGAAGCAGGACCGATAAACATTTTTTAAACTGTTGAATCTACGTTTCGACAATATTTTAATCTTTAACATATATTATGTGAGTTAGTAAATGTGAGAATGCCTAATAAAATTGTTAGTTCGCAGTTAGTTTTTTGAACAAATTAATGAATTCCAAGGTGCAGCTCTACAATTAACAGTTATCCCTGAATCTTGGTAATTCAGTTCCATTATATATTATATTAAACTGAAAAGGGAACAAACCTCGTAAGTTTAACAATTCAATAGCTTTAATAACATTTGCTCTAAGGCGCTCAGTTTACAACCTCGTACCCAGGGTCTTTCCTCTTGGCGAGGGGAGAAAAGACCCTGGTAGACACTGGTCACGTGATCTGCTAAAATCTAGCAGATTTTTAATTAGCAATCCAAGATGAGGCCAAAAAGTATTTGATATTTGGATAATTTTGATAGTTTAATTTATAATTTGCTTTTTTGTATGATTGTCGTAAAGAAATCCAAGATAGCTAAAAGACCCTGGGTACGAGGTTGCCGCTTTTACACTATGCAGTTGTCTCAATTGTTGCGACACAAGTTGTACGCAAAATTACAAGTTAACATGCCTTGCAATAATCAAGTTTTGCAACGTTTCTGTTGCAACAAGCATTCTACGAAGTATTTAATAAGTTCTACTCTTGGCGTTCTATATTTAAATTCGGAATGCTGCGCAACACTAGACTTGGGTCAAGTCCGTCCCTCTAGAGTCCGAATCGCGAAGCAACCCTCGGACTCTTGAGAGACGGACTTAATCCAAGTCTACGCAAATCGCAACACTTAGGCTACACAAACCTTGGATCATCGGAGACGGAGTCACTGAATATCACTAAAGTTCCATGATAATATGTGATATACTTTAGCCGCATGTATTAAGTCTACATGTGCATTTCCTCTGGTAGTTTAAAAGTGGTGGCCAATATTTCATGCCCTTTTTGTCTTATTAACTTACACTAAATAATCATTAACATGCACAATTGTTTACAAAAAAATCCACTTTGTCTATGGTCTATGTAATTGTGTACCGGTGGTACTTGAAACGGTAGTTTTTGAGAGCTGGGTGGAAGAATCTGCTTTTATGGCGTAATTGGTGTGCATGCTGCTGGACAGAACACTGTGATTGAAAAAAACCCTGTTAAATCCGGAAATTAAGCTGTGTTTAGTCAAGTCGATTGTACAACACAACATTGCAAATTTTCTCAATAAATTGAAACAACGAGAAATTGTCAATGTCGTCTCGGCGACTTGGTCATGCCAGACATGCTCATACAACTCCAAAACTGATGAAAATATTGCAGCAAACTTGAAGTTTTACTTTACTATAAAACTTACTTGCAATAAAAACAACAACTTCAGATGTTTGAGGCTGGGCAGACTTTTTGTCTAGAAGGCTGAAGGTATACATTCCATTATAACTTTGATCAACATTCTTTAAAATCAGTGTTGCTGGCTTGTCTATTTCAAACCTAGGTATTAAGCTGAAGTCTTGTTGTCCGGGGTCCCCATCTTCAAGTACTCTTGCAAGTCGTCCTGTTCGTGAACCGTCACTACTGTTGAAAAACCAAAACCGAAGATCCACTTGAGATATATCACCAACATATGACCAATCTATTTTTACGGTTGATCCAGGAAAAAATATCAATCTGGTCCCATTAGATGGTGGTTGAACTTGTCCTAAACAACACGAAAACATTTTTTTTGAAGGCTGCACTTGTGTAATCAAATAGATTCTGTTTGGGACCTTGGGTCAATCATTGTTCTCACAACTCATTTCTTTTAGGGTCACAGAATATGTGATCAGTAAATCGTGAGAGGGGTTGTCAGCTCAAAGGTCACAAAGATGTAAAACCGGGCAAAAAGCATTACGTATATGTGACCAATTTATTTTCTCTTATACAGATATTCTTGCATGCCTGTATAGCATTAAATCTAACCAAACACCAACCTGTTTCACATGGTCTTACCTCCGCCACGCCCCCTAAACACGCAGGGGGGGGGGCGGGGGCGGAGGTGAGACACTGGGAACGAGATTGACCAAACACAAGAAGTCGTATAGGCGTACACCGGTACTACCTACGGAAGTTTCAGAGGAAAAAAGTTAGAGGGGCGGCTGAAAATTTTCCGGACGTTCCCGAAATTGCCCGAACCAAAAACAAATTGTGAAAAACGTTGCATATTTCTATCTATTTCCACCAATTTAATGCGTGCCGCTCTTCCCTTTAATAATTTTGAAGTACAATTGCTAACTTTTTACATGCAATCTGTCCGACGTCTGTACAGACTGCCCGATGAAAAAATATTGCAGCCTACGCAAGCAGCTCAAATCACGAGTGAACGAAGATATTAAAACGAAAGAATATGACATTTATAAAAACTGAGAATATAAATTACAAAGTTCCGACTCCTATACCTTCACAATGAAACAACAGACAAGCGAGACCAAATAAAATGAGAAAACCAGTGCCGGTAATCATCTTATTCAGATAGTTAAACCTACATTAAAAAAAATACATTTATGGTATAAACCAATCGTGTTCACCAATCATCATTTTGTCCCGGGGCCCATGGTTGGCTCTCGCCGGCCTTGAACAAACTTCAACTGGAAGTTATACCAGAACTAAATAATTTCCGGACGAATGCTCTTCTTATTATTCAGAGGCTGACTATATAAGGGGCTACTCGTTTAGTAGTTAAATTGGACTCACAACAAGACAACAAACAGTTCCGGACAGAATTTGTGTATTTTCTCATTTCTGTGCAAAAAATATTTCCTGAAACATATATATAAGCAAGTGAAATGAACTGGTTATCAGTGAAGTCAATCCAGTACCTTCGGGAAATTCTTGGTGGCGGCTATATATATAAACGGCACGGAATTGCTGCCGAAAATTAAATTATCGACGGCAATATTTCTTCAATGGTTATGTACTATTTAAAACACGAGTAGGAGTGTTTTATCAGATATAAAACGCGAGGCGCAGCCGAGCGTTTTATATCTGATAAAACACGACAACGAGTGTTTTGAATAGCTTAAAATACGACTACAAAAGAATACTAATTAGGATGAACATTATATAATCATGCTATTAGGATGAATATTTATATAATGCCACATGTGTTTTATCAGATATAAAGTCACTCCACGTGACATATTATGGCTAACATGATTTGCCACAAGGTTTATGAATTATTAATGAGTATTTTAATTACTTTTCAAAAACTCATTAATAATTCATGAACCAATTATCCAATCTTGAGTAAGAAATTAGTCACGTGCATACGTCTTTATACCAGCTAAAGAACACTTTAACAAAAGACCATTGTTATGCAAACTATATAAAGGTTTTTATATAAAGATTTTTATATAAAGATTTTTATATAAAGATTTTTATATAAAGATTTTTATATAAAGATTTGACTTATTATGCATACGTTTTTGAAGCCATATAACAAACTCACAGGTCGAGTTTCAACACTCCTGCTCGTTTTTTAAATAGTACATATATAGCTGTAAGGAATCTAAATTTACGTTAAGTTATAAGTTAAGTTTTTTATTACGTTTAAGGCGGCACTCGGCAGCACTGTCCAACATTGGGGGTCCCATTTTAAGGCAGCAAACATGCTACATGCAATTGAGCTGTGGGACGGCACAAAGAGAGACTTGAAGGAAGTCTATATAAACATTACCCCCCTCTGCAGGGAACTTGGTTGGCCCGCAAAAATAGCAGAAATATGCAATAGTTATAATGATGTGGGTAGCACAGGGATCATGAGGAATAACGGTGCAGTAACAAACAGGACCCAGACGTTTCCATGGCAGAGCCACCCGAATACTAGTGAAAGCCGTTGAATGATATGGTTATACAACTGTTAATTAAACGTGAATAATAGAGCTGCGACAATGACTTTACACCCACAAAAGCCTAGATATACCTAGATATATAGGCTATATTCGACACGATAAATAATATGTTCAGGCTTTTTTAGAAACTGCCTAATGCTTAAAATATACATCCTCTGCGGTATAGTTTAGGCAATAGAATAAACCGTAATTCAGCTTAGCTGTTATATGCCACTGGCACACCTCTATACTTAATTATCTTCACTATGATCTCAAATTCACAAATTGAGTGGTACTAAAAAAGCAAATCACAACTGTGACAGCAATTGGATATGTCATATGTGATCTTAATTAGCATGGCATTTCGCCAACTTCAAATTTCTATTAAAATACTGATTTATTTATCTGACTATTCGGACTTTGTCACTGAGATATCACAAATTGGACATCCAGTAAAGTCCTCATAGTCGGATTTAATATATTGCATGCGTCTAAGATTGTGGCATCAAGGCCGGCGAGAGCCAACCACGGGCCCCGAGACAAAATGACGATTTGTGAACGCGGGCCCTAGCTGTCCCTCTGCAAATTGCCGATGATAAACAATATACGAACATTTCACCGAGATTTCCGTGCCCCTCAGAGCACTCCGGGCCCCGGGTATTTTGCCCCCCTCCCTGCCACCCCCCCCCCTCTCACCGGCCTTGGTATTCATGCTAAGCAATAACTTACGAATTGTTTAGTTTATCGAGGTAGTTTTTACTTGTATGTTTATTAGTCTAGGACCTGCATAGATGTTTGTATGCATTTCATTTAGCACAGGTAATCTCAACTGTTTTAGGGTAAAATGAGCATGGCGGTCAACATGGCATATGTGCCAAAACCTGAATCCGGGGCGAAAGTCCTGAAAATGACCCCGCCCTGAAACGGCAGTGCCGACATAGCTCTAACTTCTGAAAAGCAAAAGCGACAGCCTTTCTGAAGTGCTTATAGTGTTTAGAAGGGTTGCTTTTAGGGGTGGTCATTGGAAGGAAAAATTTGTCTGAGTATAATATTTTACCAGAAAATGACTATGCACCACCTCAGGTAAATTGCTGATTATGCACAAAATAACTAATATGCCTGGCAGAAATTTAATGTTCTTATTTCCTAAAAAAAATTATCATGGCATGAAAAACTATGCTTAATTTAATATAATTATTGTAGTTTTCATAAGGATTGTCATTGTTTTCCTTAAATATAATACATTTTAATTCACTCACCCCCCACGAAAACACCATTTCAGCCATTCTTTGCTGTCTCGTCTGCTTTTTATCGCCGAGTCTCGCAGGTGTCATCCAGTTGTTGTACTTTTACATAATGATAGATGGCTAAAGACGATTTCGACGAAGTTTAATGAAGTTTTGAAACAGTGCAGTATATTTTATCTTCGATATTGTGTCCTTCGATATTTCGTCAAATTGCCGCCATGTTAATGTCTCGCCGCTTCTCTGCCCGATAAATGCCACTTCTTCGTCTTCCTATGTGTTTAGACTACAGTATCCAAGAGTACTTCATTGTAGAATAGTCCCAATCGAAAGAATGAAAACATTAGTTGGGTTTTCATGCCAAAACCCTCCAGGTAATAATTTAGGTTCAAAATAAAATACAAAGCATTTGAAAGTCACACGCAATCTTCGCGAAAACTTCTCGTGGACACATGACAGGGGGGGTGAATATTTTCACGAAACGTTTGTTCGCCACCACAGCAACCTAAAATATATATATTTATTGTATTTTTATGAATTATGATAAAAACAATAAATACTCGTCATAATTCATAAAAATACAATAAATACAATATATTTTAGGTTGCTGTGGTGGCGAACAAACGTTTCGTGAAAATATTCACCCCCCCTGTCATGTGTCCACGAGAAGTTTTCGCGAAGATTGCGCGTGACTTTCAAATGCTTTGTATTTTATTTTGAACCTAAATTATTACCTGGAGGGTTTTGGCATGAAAACCCAACTAATGTTTTCATTCTTTCGATTGGGACTATTCTACAATGAAGTACTCTTGGATACTGTAGTCTAAACACATAGGAAGACGAAGAAGTGGCATTTATCGGGCAGAAAAGCGGCGAGCCATTAACATGGCGGCAATTTGACGAAATATCGAAGGACACAATATCGAAGATAAAATATTCTGCACTGTTTCAAAACTTCATTAAACTTCGTCGAAATCGTCTTTAGCCATCTATCATTATGTAAAAGTACAACAACTGGATGACACCTGCGAGACTCGGCGATAAAAAGCAGACGAGACAGCAAAGAATGGCTGAAATGGTGTTTTCGTGGGGGGTGAGTGAATTAAAATGTATTATATTTAAAGAAAACAATGACAATCCTTATGAAAACTACAATAATTATATTAAATTAAGCATAGTTTTTCATGCCATGATAATTTTTTTTAGGAAATAAGAACATTAAATTTCTGCCAGGCATATTAGTTATTTTGTGCATAATCAGCAATTTACCTGAGGTGGTGCATAGTCATTTTCTGGTAAAATATTATACTCAGACAAATTTTTCCTTCCAATGACCACCCCTAAAAGCAACCCTTCTAAACACTATAAGCACATCAGAAAAGCTGTTGCTTTTGCTTTTCAGAAGTTAGAGCTATGTCGGCACTGCCGTTTCAGGGCGGGGTCATTTTCAGGACTTTCGCCCCGGATTCAGGTTTTGGCACATATGCCATGTTGACCGCCATGGTCATTTTACCCTAAAACAGTTGAGATTACCTGTGCTAAATGAAATGCATACAAACATCTATACAGGTCCTAGACTACCAGAGGTTCTCTTCGCCTTGCGTAAAATAAATACGAGCGGGAATAAGGCGAAAGATACAGAACCTCTGGCAACCAGGGTAAACTTGAATTTGGTCGGACAAAAACCAACACCACTAAATTTGGTCGGACCGATATATACGTCACAAGATATATATAAGTCATGAGACCGAAGTATGTATAGCCATTCCGGTAGAATGCCTTGTAAATTTTATTGCAAAATGCAAATTGAATTACTTTTGCTCGGTAATACAACGTATTGTCTTCTGATCTGACGTTATCGCCGCAGATAATACCGCTCCGTATTAAGGAAGTAAATCAGGATGCGATAATTCACGCACTTACGTTGTTTTCAGCCACGTACCACGTAGTTACGCGGAACTTTTGCTACATGACCTTTCCAAGCCCAAGCCAAGGTATTCAAAACTGTAATTCTGTTGGTATATCATGTGTCTGAGATGTCTTGGCATGAAACATGATTGGACTGATGGCCGACTGCAGTATAATTTTTTGTTAGGATTTTGTTGTCGAGGAGTGCATGACACAGCCGTTTACGAGTGTAATGTACAGGTGGTTTTGGTTTGATAGCGTCGGCAGACAACCCAAACTTCGGCCTTGCCATTATAAACGTTTTTCAACCACCCAAACATGGATAGCGCCCGGAGGTAAAATTCGCTGAATTTTCCAAATCCCAAAGCAATGTGGACTGTTATTTTCGAAGTCCATGCACTTGAAAGATTAAAGCCTAAAGGCTATTTTCCGCTTATAAAATTCTGTGAATTAACTGAATGACTTGGCTGTTGTGTTATTCTATAGGTAACAAAGATTGCCGTCCTATTTTATTCATATTGGATGAATTTGATTTGTTTATTTTTCACAAGAATCAAACATTATTGTACAACTTGTTTGATATATCTCAGTCAGCTCAGAATCCTGTTCTCGTCATTGGTCTTACATGTCGCTTAGTAAGTACATGATTTAATTTGTAGTTTGAGAAACTGTTTGTTTTTAAAACATGGTTCAATTATTCCTGTTACCTTACCCTCCCCGGACAACCCCGGGGATTTTCGGCAATTCCCCACCCCGGGGACAATATTCACAAACCATTACTGCACACAAACACGTTGTAAATCGAAACTTGTACAAATGTCAACCTTCGAATTTACTTACAGGACGCATTTTTCTTGCCACTGGCAACGCAATCTCTGATCTACAGGCATATATTATCAACATTATCAAATACATAAGAACGAAATCAGTGAAGTGCAAGTGGATCTTTATTAATAATCGTGGGTTTGGGGGGGAAACATCTTGCGGCGGGTTCGCTGGCTAGACCCAAAGCCTCTCGCGTGTGAATATTTATATTCCCCACCCCGCACGGGCCACCCCCGGGACCAGACGCTCAATAAAATTTCCCATGAATTGATGAAACATTACAAAAATACCATACTAATAATGAATACACATTACACAGCTACAGTACACTAGCACGATTCATTATTATTAAAAAAAGACGAAACAAGACACTCTGGATGTACTACTATATAGATTATTCTGGAGTACAGTAGGCGTGTAGCGACATTAGAGAGGCCGGTTAAGATTGACGTATACAGCAGACCGCTAACAGCAGACAGCAAACTTCAAATCGCATTTGAAGGTAAGTTTTACAAGTTTTCGAAGGTTTCGACAAGTTTTCAGCTAATTCATGCTTTAATTTTAGCGCAGAAATTGTCCTAACTTCGAACAGTTGACATTTGGGTCTGCCGTAACCATCAATCTGCCATAATGGTCTGCCGTAAACGTCAATCTTAACCTCTGTATTATATTTTATACACTTACTTGAGATTCACATCATGCTGCTCCGAGTGTGTCCACACTGAGAAAGCTGAAAAGTTAGAGATCGAAGGAACTATATATTGAGTTTCGAAATGTCTCCGACTCGAACCGACTTGATCTCGTGTACTGTAGCTCAATTGGTACAACATTGCACTAGCAAACCAAAGGTCGCGGGTTCGATTCCCACAGCTGTTACGCGAACTTTTCAGCTTGCCCGCTGTGGACACACTCAGAGTAGCATAATCCCAAATATAATTTCACCTGCATGAGTACATTAGCTTCCCCCGCAGGCGTTTCACCCGGGGAACCATTCACGGGCTAAAACCCATAAAGATTCCTGCGTACATACTGCATGGTTAGTAATTTAATATTTTAGTTTTACGCTTAATTGTCCCAAGATGAGGTTCAGGAAATGCCAAATTTGTATCTTTATTTCATATGTTGTGCATGCATGTTATCACCCGTATTATATAATACCTTATTAAATTCTAATAATTTAATTGGCTGTTTATGGTCACGTGATATTGAATAGAAAATTCCATTTCCCAAGAGTGCAATGGAACACGTTCCATTGCACTCTCCGCGAGTGCAATGGAATAAAACGTATAGTACAATTGCACTCTTTGTGTTTTCGATAAATCGCATCCCCCAAAATGCTTCTCATACGAATCTATTAGTCTATTTTGCTTTTATATAAAACAAATAATGAATGTTTCTTCGTGCAATGGTAAGAATATTTTCATTCGGTGAAAGATGGAATGTTCCATTCAACTCGGCTGTCGCCTCGTTGAATGGAACATTCCATCTTTCACCTCATGAAAATATTCTTACCATTGCACTCATAAACATTCATTATTTGTATACTATTTCATGGAAAAGATTCCCTTAGCATATGAACTTGACGGTATGATTGTAATTTTTATAGGATGTTGTTGAACATCTCGAAAAGAGAGTGAAATCAAGATTTTCTCATCGACAAATTCATTTTTTCAATGATTTCATGTTTGGGGATTATATTGATATATTTAGGTAATTTTTCTTATTGATTTTTCTTATTACATCACTATTAATTTCAGCACTAGCCTATAAAACATGCATATGCAAGCTTGAAGTCGAATGTTTATAAGTTAGACGTAATTTAATTTAATAAAATAATTTATGTAATTAGAAGAAAGAGTCAAAAATTATCTTCATTTTCACGTTGCTATGTCTGTTGTTTTCGTGTAGGTCAATCGTTGCTGTTCCACCAAGATTCTCGAACAAAATTACAGCAAAAGCCTGGAATAAAACCGTGAAGGTGTTGTATAAATTTTATTTCTGTAATATTGTCCGTATCTTTGGGCTGTTTACATGATCCAGCGTTATCTAGACGGGATGGTAGGCGGGATGATTTTGACGTATTGAAATAAGCGATGAATGGAACTGAACTTCAACAAGATTATGATGATTAACTATCGCATCCCGGGGAGTAGAAGGGGTGCACATCAGAAAGTTATCCCATTCCAGTTTGAGAAATCTGCCCTCCCCCCGACATTTAGATGCTCATTGGATTAACTGACAGTACTGTGAGTGAAACAGGGATTTTGAACTAAATAAGTCCAAAAATCTCAAATTTCCTCGGGCTTCAATCCCCTTATCCCCAACCATGGCTTTCATTATAGGAATATAGCTACTATATTAGTCTAAATTAGAGTAACATTCCTTGTGTTTTCCAGACTTTGTGTGAAGACAGTCATTTCCGAGACATTTTGTATGAAAACTACAGTTACAATAAGAGTATTCGTGGATTGCATGCTCTCATGGTATGGAGTATGGTGCATGCCTTGTACTGTATGGATATCATTACTTATTCTAAATATGCATGAACATCTGGCCCGATAGGAAAGAATGTTAAAGGTTTTTGTACCGGTTCTTCCGGTACTTTTGTTAGCACCGAAAAATTATACGCAAAAGAACTGGTAGTTTCGGTTTTAATTTCCCCTTTAACGCCCGCCAAACGCCCAACTGATTGCAGGTTGAAATGTTTGGAAAATAACACTAGATTGTGCTCTTTGCATGTGCACAATATGCACTGTACAAAGTGCTCAAATAGTTGATATTTTAGTTGTGATAGTTATTGTTGTGCTCTTGCTTTAATTTTTTTAAAAAAGAAATATTTTATGTTCATAAATAAATTCCATTTCTATTGTTCTTTTAAAATATTTAGAGATTTACGGTATACAAACTTACAAAGGCATAAATTCATCTATTTAGTAAAAATGCTCGAAACACACATAAATGAGTTCATACATATATGTACTGTTGTTCTTTTTTGAAAATAACCGAAACCGAACCGAACCGAGGTTTTTCTGTTCCAAAAAAACCGGAACCGAGATAAAATTTTTGGAACCGCACAGCTCTAATGGAAATGTCGAGCGAAGACTATTCATATTTTACACCTAGCCAGAAGGAGTTGCGAAAAATGAAATTATAAACCCTCCTACAGGAGTCGAACATGCATGATGATTGAGTTATAAGTAGTTTCTACTTCAATTTCTATCTCCAATAACCTATCTCATACTATTAAAATTACTTAGGGGCCGATTATATGGAGGTTTTCAGCCCGGCAAACCGGGATGAAATTTCAGCCCGGGGCCCCTATAAATTCAATATAAAATGAATTTTACGACTAAAACTCAGCCCGGGTTCAAATTGCCCATGTAATCGTGATGCCATTTCGATTTCAGCTCGGTTAACCGGGCTGAAATTCATCCCGGGCTGAATACTTTCCATGTAATCGGGCCCTTACTCCATTCTGTCGAGCCCAAGCTTAATTATATATACTTTGAATATCTGACTTATCCTATCAATTTGTATGATCATTTGTAGACAATGCCTGTCTCACTGCTCTCGCGAGATTATCCTTTTTTGTTGACTGACGATTTTGAAGAAGCAAAGAATGATTTGATAATAGATCATAAGTCTGTAATGTTACATGGTAGGTCTTAAGTACATATAGTTGTGGCTGTCTCAAATATACAGCATGTCAAGATGATCGATGTGATAAAAACACTGAAGGAAAATAGTGACATCTACAGTATACTATGAAAATCATATTTGCATCACCAGGTCCACTGCATGTATTTCCATATACTGTATCCTTATAGTGTGGAAATGTCAATTACAGTCATACAATTTCCATGCAATTTCCATAGTAAGGATTTAAAATGACTGCATGTAACTTAATCAGCTATACAATAACGTGTCCGTAGTGCGACTGAGTTGAGTATGGTTTGTTAGATTTTCCCGACAGAAGTGATAATGGCAGTAGTAGAGTGAAATCACACCGCGTATATTCAGCGCAGTTGAACATATTTAGATAAGAGATCATGTTTCGGAGTTATTTGTGTGTAAACTATTTGCTATTTTTTTTATGAATTTTAGGATTATCAGTTCTTGAGCTTTGCCTGCTAATTACGATGAAATATCTTGTTGAAACGTTTGATGATCGTGCATTCAATTTTCAGATGGTGTTTAATGGTAGTGTTGGCCAAATTCTTGTATGGATTGTCCTACAATCATAGTTCTATATTTCTTGAATAATAAACCGACAATGTTGTTAGGTAATCAAAACCATGTCATGTTCTTAAACTATTTTTAGAATATCAGAAGTTTGTCAGGACAAGAGGTCATTCGTTACAATGTTTTGATAAAACAGTCGTATTAAAGGTAATTTATAGCATTTCTTGTTGTATTTGGCAGTATTTACGAACATTCGTAGAAATTAATATCCACTCACCTCAACCATCATGTTGGTGTATGGTTTTCCTAGAACACTGCCTTAGTTCCCTTGGTGATGTACCCCACCCGGTTGACTGTTGTACTGTACCACACTCCATGAGAAGCGTTTGCTCACCACCCCCTCCCCTTACCCACCTCTACCAGACCAAACTGGATCCATCCCTGTAAAGATGAGGAAATTGCACTATATCTCTGACTCTAATACTGTGCTTTTCCAAAACATTTTCCAGGCATTTGAACATTTATTGGCGTTGGAACTTGTAAAAAGCATTGATGGAGGTGCCGCAAATACACCAAAAGAGTATCGACCGTTGAGTCTATTAGTTGAACCATATCAGATTACTGAAGTTGTACGAACATATCCTGAGTGTCCAACAGAGTTAACACAATGGGCAACAACTACAGTGAGCTAAACAGATTTAAGTTAAAAAGGGTGTTCCCGAATAACCACAATTGCCCCGATCGGTCCTCCTTGTCGGACCTTGCTTTTCAACAATAGACAGCAGACAAGGGGAGTAAAGTAAACAACTGGCTGCAGAAATAATGAACCAGACTGTGCGTTAGGCAAACAATATGCAAATTTGAATTGTAAATTTCCCACATGGACCTCAGTAAGCTTTCGTTTGATTGTTATCCATAGTCGAAGTATTCGTAAGTTATGCATGAGCATTCATCAAATTACTGTGGGTTTGGGGTCGGGATACTAAAGTGTATGGATGATGTAGTTAATAGAACACAGGCTAAAGGAGGGATGGAGTAGCCTGCCTCACGGACGTATGGCTCCAACCCTCGCTAACATAAGAACGTCTGCGAGGCAGATTAGGGATGGAGGGATGGAGGGGAGAAAGTAAAAAGGGAAAGTATATAATACATTTTTGAATATATGCTGAATCGTATCAGGAAATCGGTATATATTGATGCCGACTGTCCCTGGTGACAAACGTGTTGGCGCAGAAAGTAAATAATTTTTTGCTTTATGTTTTAAATTATTTCATTACAATATAATTTACTCACAAATTGCCGGCGAAATTAATTTAGCTTTTACGAAATCGGACAGAATTCTAAGTTGTAACTCTAAAAATGATCAATTCATACGCATACGCTCACTGGCTCAGTACACATCTGATTGGTTAATCAGACTTATTTGACGCAACTGATTAGTTAATGGTAGTGGATGCAGGGGCGCAAGAACCGGGGGGGGGGGAAGTTTTCAGAAGGCACAAAAAGTGCCCTTTTGCCTTCGTGAAAAATGTTGTTCAGATTGCATTTTTGACTCATGGATGTTGCAAAGCAACATCTGCGAGTCTTCGTGGTTACTTGAGTGTGGGGCAGTTAAACAACGAGAAATTACCAGCCTGCTTGGCCCAAAAGTGCCCCTCGAAACCGGTGCCCCAACTTTTTATGTTTCCTACGCCCCTGAGTGGATGTCAAATCGGATGTTGCCAAGGTTCAATCTCGTTTTGGTAGCAGGATTAGAAAATAATGCCTTGTTTTATCAAGGTGCATTAGTTATGATGTAATTATCTGTTGTCATTGGCGTTCAAATGGAGTCTTCTTGAACATATTAATAACGCAATGTATTGCGCTGCATACATGTAAATTGAATATTTATTTCATCATAATTTTACATTATTGCAATCATCGATGTTTTGCTAATTTTAGAAGTGGAGGGAACGCTCTTAAAAATCAAATGGGCATGGTCACTCGATTGGGCGTGGCCAATGGTCATGAAATTAAACAAGCGCGGGTGCGGGTTTAGTCTAATAGACATGCTTGTCAAAATATGTCACATTATATTCTATAGTAAACAAACGATATAATAATATATTTGATCATTATTTAAGACTCTTAATTTGACTCTCGTATTTTTATGCTAGTCTGCTAAAATTACCTTCAGAAGTATTTCCACGTAAGATGCTGTCCATGCAATTATTGCCCAAAATAACACGTGTGTAGAACAAGTGATTAATAGCGAAAATTATTTGGACGGTGTCGAACAGCGTTCACTGAACTTCATTCATATTTAACCCCTGCCAAGGGGAACGGCGTTCCCCCATGTTTGATTTTGGCAGGGGGGACGCCGTTCCCCTGCTAAAAGATGTGGGGGGACGGCGTTCCCCCTGGAAAACATCACTGATTGCAATCCAATCCACAGGCGATTCTGGATGTCGACACGTCGTGTATGCAAATTTTAATTTGTGAAAAGATCAAATGAAGTATAACTAAGAAAGATTCCAAAAACCGCTGATGTAAGTGGCTCAATTTTCCAGAAGACCAATCATCGTTTGTTAGATTGATTTGGCGGTAAAGTCAACCAATAAGACTTCCTGTCAAAAATCGCGGGAACATGGTGAATATATTTTATTTCAGGGAGAGGGGTACACTCATAGGGTACACTCTGTTGTCACTTTACTCCTTGTCTGTGTATGGCAGACGGGATATTAAATTTGTAAATTTGGAAGCCATGTAGAAAACCAAGAAGCTCAAAGTTCCCAGGATGGACATTAATGACTATGAAAGAATTGAGAAAGTTGGCGAGGGGACATACGGGGTGGTATACAAAGCAAGAAATAAGGAAAATAATGAAATGGTTGCCCTGAAGAAAATAAGACTTGACACGTATGTATAACTTATTTAGCACGCCCTTTGTATTTGTATGTTCATAATGGAAGTTAGGAAGACTTTGTTTTTATATTGGGCGTTATATAAAAGCCGCGACAATCGACTATATAGCGTTCGACCACATAAATAGAACTAAGCGAGTGAGTGGCAGTGTGGCACAATTGTCCTGTTAATATTGTTCGCTGTATGTACATTTTGTGGATACAAAACGTTCGTATTTCTTTAAATTTTGTAGTTGTTTCTTATATCATTTTATATATGGTTATGGTTATAGTATTCGTTTTTGTTTCTCTTTAACCCATGATGAGAATGCAAGAAGCCAAGAAAGTATACTATGTTCGGCTTTATAATTCATGTTTCAGTTAATTTTAACATTGTCCATAATTTCCCTGGGACATTTGAACTCTATTTTTCCTTTATTTTAATGTACAATTCCCCAGGGTTGGGCAGTGTGACAATGCCGGAATGCCCTTCCCACATAACTGCCCAGCCCGGGGACCAAGACACATTTAATTCATCGGATTGTTAAAAATGAGGAAACAGCAAAATGTTCAAGAATCTTAGATTGTTCTTGTAGGCTATTAACTCATTGAGCCCAACTCTCCTCTTGACGAGTAAAATCATCTGGCGTTAGATGGTAAAGTAATAAAGTAGGGCGCAATGCAACTTAATGGGTTAATGCCCCAAATTTTTACATACAAGTTTTACATTTGTAATTTAGCCCCGTAGGTGGCTATGAGGTACAGTAGTTTTATTTGACAAGTTTTTAAAGTTCAGTAGTCATCCTGGCTTTTGGACAAGAAAAACACCCCATCTGTGGTAATACAATGATATGTACACTCGGTTACAAAATACTCAATTTTGTTCATGAATTATCCATACTACCCATATTTATGAAAATTACACTGTGATTTAATTAAAGGCACATATTTGCTTGGCTGCAGAGATGTCCTGTCAAGGCAAATGCTTGGCTGTTTAACAATTTCCCTCCCCAAGAGAAACTTTGCAAGTACCGATGCCAGGGTTCCCAATACCTATGTGGTGCCGAAGGTTCGCAAGTACCTCCCTGTGAGGATTTTGAAATTTAGACTGTGAAAATCACTGGTCTCCTGTTTCAATAGACCTTTCCCCTTTTGAGTGAAATTTTGTAAAAAAATTTCATCACAGCTTGAAAGAGCATCACAAAATTAGTAATATTCGGAAGTTTCGTTGCGAAATGTTGTAAAATGCGGATAATATATAGCCTTGCGAAGTTTGCTGTTTTTCAGTCATTTTGCATTATGAATGGGAAATTGATAATCAGTTTGATCATCTGATTATCAATTTCCCGTTTGTAATGCAAAATGACTGAAAAACGGCAAACTTCGCAAGGCTATGTTATCCGCATTTTACCACATTTCACAACGAAACTTCGGAATATTACTAATTTTGTGATGCTCTTTCAAGCTGTGATGAAATTTTTGTCCAGGCATATCTAGATCAAAATTTCACTCATAAGGGGAAGGTCTATTAGGAACTCTGCAATGGCTAGTCCCTGGGCAAAAAAGCTTACAAATGCCCAGAGGAGGGAAGGTCAATGCTAGAATTGACGAGTTCCTCATTAGATAGTAAAACTAGTTTTATAGTTTATAACATGATTGGTAACCCATGAATGTCAAAAGATTATAAACGAATGCTCAGTAGCCGAGGGGCTTAGACATTTGCTGTCGATGCACACATCCCAGTGAAATCCTTTCCATGACTGAGTAATAACATGATCTGAGGTTAGAATGAGGGCCTGCAGCTGCTGGGTAGGGATTGTGTGTATTGTTTGTTTATTGTCTGACACAATGTGAATGTTGAATGTACAGTTTGGACCAATAGCAGTTAAATGTTGGGACCCAGTGTTGGATGAATATAACCATGGCATTGTCAAATATATACCCTCCTGTAAATGGTGTGGAGTGGAAACCCCTATTTGTCTTCAGTTGTCCATGTAGAACATTTAGGCATAAGTGACGAGCTTACATTTTTATAAAAATTGATTGGGTGTGATGTCAGAGATGCTCAACTCTGACCTCCCAGAATGTGGGAAATTCATTACTGTAAATGTATGTACAAGAAAAAAGGTGACACATTTTAACACTCCCCTAAATTTCTAGAAATAAGAACCAAAACGAAAATGTTTAGGTTTTAACATGCAGACACTTCACAAGTATGTAAACAAGGATGAAAACTGGAGCCTTCTTTGAGCTAGATCAGTGGTTTTAACATAATGGATCCAGCATGATTTGGTAGGGAAAATGCTAAACAGGCACGTAAGAATATGTCTGGTTTGTAGATTTCAAGATGCAAAATGGAAAATTCAGCTGATCTCATAGTTCCACTGGATAGAGAACTTCAGAAGCTCATTTATTATGCAAAGTCTAACTTCTTCCCCAAGGAGCATTATAAAATAAATAAAAGAGAAATGTGCTTACAAAGCCAATTTTTTCCGCATTCAAAGTATTTTAATTGTAAAGCAGTTGATATCAAACAGAAATTTTAGAGATTACGCTGAATATTGTAAATAATCATGCAGTATATTTTAAATTTGTACCAAGTTTGCACAGTAATTTCATAGTAATTTCAGTAATTTCTTAACATTGTCAATTAAAGCCACTCAGAATAGACATAACATTGTTTCAAATATGTGGAGCTATAATACTACATGTATACTTGCTACATAACAGTAAATGATCACTAAAAGTCCCTCTTTATATTAACAGTTGAAATATATTACATGAAAACTAATATTCTAACCACTCATAGTTCATGTTGCTAAACATGAAATATTTATTATTTATAAGACAGCTTAGAAATTAAACAATTGTGCATGCTAATGTATTACATTAGCAATGCTGGTCACATCAATAACTCTACCATCAATTTATACAGTAAACAGTACTGTTTTGGAAGCTGCAGTAAGTGTGACAACAAGAGATGAATGTTTGATGTTTATATGTCATGCAACCATTCACTTTCACACTATGGCCATGTTATTCATCATTGTACAGGGCTCAAGATTAGTGGTATCCCGATATCCACGGGATACCAGATTTCAATTTTGGATACTATAGATATCATAGGCTTAGTATCTCAACGGGATACTAAAAAAATCGAAATATTGGTGAAAATGATGTGCAATTTTTGGGACAAGATTTGCCTATGAATCACATGTTTTAGACAGCATGCCTGTCATAATTTCAAGAAGGACAGTACCTTTGAAGAAGTACAGTTGTACCACCCTAAACAAATTTTGCATGTGTTATTATTTTATAAAATCTCTAGAATATATTAGAAACAACTGAACTGAAACTATCCTTTTTACAAAAGCTGGGATATGTAAAAAGAGGAAAATAAAAATTAGTCACAACCACTTTACTAATAACAGATTTTTTTGCACATTGTTTGGAAAAGTGATGTGCAATATTCCCAATTTTAGAAAAAACAATGTGCAAATTGCATATTGCACACTGTTAATTCGAACCCTGCATGGGTGACCCTAACAAATGATAAGATGTTTTGTAGTACTTGTTTACACACCTGTCCAGCAGTTATTTACCTTGTTTGGATACCGCTTATCGAAATACCTACTACCCAAATTTGGGATACTAAATTTCTAGCCTGCGAACAGGCTCTCAAGCTGAATTGAGAGCCTGCATCGATGACTAATGAATTTGAATATCTGCCCCGTAACGTTCGTTTTTCCAAATATGGAATGTCTATCCTTATATGGTGTTGTTTACAACTTTCGTGCAAACTAAATTTAGACCGTGCAAACTAAATTTAGACCGTACAGTTTATACTGTTTTTCGAAATACAAGATATTCAAGCAAAAGTTCAAATGTTTTAAATACTGTTTTCTCAAAACAGAACATTTCCTGCTTTGAGAAAGATGGCCAAGACCAATTTGATCATTTAATGTGTTTTTTATGCATAGTGCTTCAGCAGTTGACATATATAGAGCTCAGCGGAAACATATAAATTATAGCATCTGACCAATGAGAATTTCGCGTCACGATTTGAGACGCAGATATTCAAATTCATTAGTCATCGATGCAGGCTCTCATTTCAGCTTGAGAGCCTGTTCGCAGGCTACTAAATTTCAAATATAAGGGATACTAGATTTTAAGACCCTAGTATCCACTTGGATACTAGTAAAAAATTCAAATCTTGAGCCCTGTTGTAGTGCCGCATATAAACATATCCAAAGTCTGAAATTGCCTATACTGTATTTTCATAGCATCTTGTTTTATCTATTAAAACATTGATATTACTTGCTAAAGCTAGTGATAGGCACTTAATGGTTAAAAACATGGACAGTGCTTGTGTGTGGTCATATACCAATAATCACTTTACCAATGAGTCTCTTTATCTTTTTTACAAATGAGTCTTTATCTTGTGCAGTTTGGAATCATTCACTCAAAAGCATTTCATCCTATGTATATATTATGGTTGCATGTCCATATATGGCGTGTTCCACATTAACATTATCTAGCTGTATAAGCTTTGTGGTAGTAAAAAAAATATGCCCCATTCATCCACAATATTCATTTTTGAGAATCATTTTGAGAATCTGAGGTGTGTGTTTGCCCTCACATGATGTATCTCTGCTCAACCATTAGTGTACACAACTTGACTTGATGGTTAATTAAAATCATCTGGCATTAGACAGAAACAGACCTGACATAGCCGGGAGTCTCCCGGTATAGACCTGTGATCTCCCAGTAGTGAAAAATTTCTCCCGGTATTTGCAACTGGCAATTATCCTGATTTCTTGTCGATCTAATTGAATTTTAATTGAAAAATATATATGCGCGGCTGCGTTTCATTTCATCCATTTATTGTAAATGTAATGACTTCATTTTAGATTCTATAATGTTCGGAAAGTCAAAATTGTATTTATTTGTTAAAACATCTTCATGTTGTATCTGAAAATACAATATGAAGACGTGTTTTATTAACAAATAAATAAATTTTCAGTCCAAGATTGATAGTGCCCAATTTTAACATTAGTTAAAGGGCTTCTTGTGCTGCGAGTGTAGCTAAGAGTTTGAATGAGCCACCAATCTGACTGCTCTAATGAAAAGGGCTTTAATGGGGGTTTTTCCCCGCCAAATTAAGTGTTTAAATAAGACTTCTCCGGTCTCCCTTTTTATCAGTTGCTAAGGTTGACAGGTCTGCATGCAGAAATCAGTAAGGTGCAGTACATCTATGTATATACAGTCTCAATTTACACATATACCTCTATGGTCGAGTCGACATGCTGACGACACATAGGACACTTTTTCCATTTCTTACGATCCAAACAGGGTTTACACAAACACATGTGTTGACATGGCAACAAAACTATTGTTTTGATTTGGTCTTGGCAAATCCTACATAATCTCTCATCCCTTTCTTGTTCCAAACTCAAGTTACTCATCTTAAGTTTCTCTAACAATAATTTGGTGTGTTCTAATTTTAACTGCAATTTTTGTTGGTCCTCCATACATCTGGTATATACTTCATGCTGGTCCTCCATACGTCTGTTATGTACTTCTTGCTGGTCTTCCATGCATGTACATTCTTCTGAAAGTCTGTGAACCTTTCGTACAAGAAAGGCAATTATAATAACAAAAGCAATTCCTGGAATTCCACCGGGAAAATGAGCAACCAACAGTGTACTAAAATGGAGTATACTCCTAAGAAACCAACTGCCGATGTACGTTGCATAGCTAAGTACCAGAGTAAGTACTAAGTTAAGCACCTGCCAAAATATTTCTAAGAATCTTAATGCATAGTTGATAAACACTCCGGCCATGTCGGAAAATCTGATATGAACATGATTAGCTGAATCCCTCACTTTAGAGATATAATGATAGTAGTAATCATGAATGCCAGTAAGAACATCGACATCGTCGTTCATCATAATCGTCACTACTAGAGACTGTAATAACTGGAGTAGGGCTTGTAGCCCTGGGTACAATATATTAGGAATAAAAACACACACGAGGAACATAATGTCTCTCTGCCTCTGGTGCCTGTGGTCCCTGTGGTCTACCACAATTGAATTCGGGATCACTATCTTCGCAATGAAGTCGAGAACGTTCAGCAATGCGAAAACAAAGTTAAGGATCACGCAGAGCGGTAGCAAAAGTGGACAAAGTACATGGTGAATAAGGTTTAAGTCCCGTCGATTTCGAAGCCTACGGCATCGTTGCTGAAACTCGCGATTGCGTCGAACAAGTCGACCTGTATTTGCCATCTTTGTTACTTGAAGAGAATTATGCTATACTATACTGAAGACACAGCCACTTCCTGTTTGTAACGCGGAATGTCGGAAATAGGGTACTCGGAATAGGAAATCCCCAAATACCAGAAAGAAACTACCGAAATAAGAACCGATTTAGAAATCTAAAAAAGAGGCGACGCTTTATTCGCAGTATGTTATTTTAATATTTCTTTAAGTTGTCAGCTGGAAATGGATTGATATATAGTAGGTTTGAGCGGTTCACAGATACCTGCTTCTTTGATTTTGTCAACCCGTTTTCCACCCGTTTTGCTGACGCAGACACCAAACGAAAATAGCATAACCAATGTATTAAAGCGGACGGTATTAAAAACATCTGTTTGGTGTAGATTATAAATACTAATATGATAAAGGAAGACAAAAATGTATCGTTAGTTTGGTGATAAATATTTTGTGTGCAATTGAGATATAGTATTAATGATAAATTATTAATTCAATATAAGTCACCCATGCGTGAACGTCACGCACTAAATTTTCACAAAATATATCGTGTTTTCTTTGACTCTGTTTTTGTTCTGTTACTGCAAAGGTCTTCATTGTGCTACCTCGGTGAACACCGTCGTGAATTTTCATTATAATTTCTCTTATAACCCATCGACCATTTTTGTTGTATATCCCCGTCTCCAAGACCAAGGGCAAGGACCATTTGAGAGAAACCTGTTTCGAGATTCGATCAAAGAATATCTGTTTTAAAATATCCTATAACAAACAGAAATAAAAGAACAACGAGTTTCAGACAGTCGGAGTTTTGTGGTGTTCCATGCATGTGATATTTGGAGCGAAGGACTATATATGTTACCAATTTCAGAGGTTGCTGTGAGAGTAATTGTCCTAGACGTAGACCTTTACTTGGTTGGCTTTGGCAGGTTTGGTAAACAAATGTCAGGAAGGTGCCTTGTTCTCGCTTCACCCTTCCTTCTCCCCGCCCCCAAATCACCTAGGTCCCAGTCTTCTCATCTGAAAAGGCGCTGAAAATTAAAAAATAAATTAGAAATAGACAGCCTAAGTCTAGGTTGAATATAGGCCTTATTTACCTAGTCATATGATAGATCCATTCTATAAACCCATACTTACCTGAAAATATCCTTCTGTCTTGCTTAAATTTTAGGGAGTCAGAAGGTGTACCCAGTACAGCAATACGAGAAATATCATTATTGAAGGAAATGAACCATGCAAATATAGTGAGGTAAGGGACCGTTCATTATTTATACCTGGGGTTGGTACCGAAGAGAAGTGAAACACAGTGTAATTTTTTTCTGACTTACCCAACCTCAACATTGGTCAAAATAATGTTTACCCAACCCATGTGTTACTGTACTTCATAATAATTAAACACACAAGATTATGGTCACCGTGACAAAAATCAAGTTGCCTAAATTCTAAAAACTCACTCACACTCAAACTCACTGAGTGTGCCAAAGCAATCACGTTCCTGCTGATCAATCTTCCTCAATCACTGATGGTCTATTTTGGTACTGAATGTATTGTACACATTTTTCTTCATATGCCATAAATTTTTTTACCCAACCCATGAGCTACTCAAAAACTTGATTACCCAACCCATATCTCTTCGGTACCAACCCCGGGTATAAATAATGAACGGTCCCTAATGTTTTGTTTTTCATAAAATAGTCAAACATACATGTATGGGCGCAAACGTAAGGTTGAAATGTAAACATAACTTTTTCACCGAGTCCTATGATTATGAAGTAGGACAAGTGTTTGCTTTTGTCCCGTTCCAGCGAATTCCTATCTTCATTACTTAATACATATGCATATCTTGCTGCATTTCATTGTATATTTAACAGTTATAATACGAACTCGAGTCGAATATGAGCTGATAGCCGAGTGAGTTTAAAAATTCATTTGCTAACCTGTAGACAATTTGTGGGGATTTTTGCATTGTGTTTTTAATCCTGAAAAGCTATAAAAAGCGAAGAGCTTGCCATTTTCTCGTTCGCAAAACATCGGAAATTCAGTTTGAGCCGCCATTTTGTTTTTCTCTACTAGCAGGATATGAGCTAATATCAGAGAGCTAATATCGTGCTAGTATTGTATTTTTATCCAACTAACCAATAGCAATGTTTTAGGAAAGTTACCTATCCGTGACTTGAGGAAATTGCTATTGGTGAATTTGGCAAAAATACAATACACACGTGACGGTGAAGGACCATATTTATGAATAACGTTGACTAACATAGATAATGAGCTCGAGTTATATTGTTATTCTAATGAGTTTCACAGCCATCTTCCCTTCGATAGGCTATGGTTTGAGTTTGATTTCAGGATCCATTATTGTCCCCCAGGCTACTAGTTGTAGTTCGCTTAGTGGCCCCTAGACCCCTACGCCTATCTCGTAGTAAAATAATCTACAGGCATGGATGACCCGCTTCAATCTCGGGAATATTGGCCAGTTGTGAACACCAGATTCGATAGAACACCATCACTATATGATAAATATTTTATTTTAGATTGCTGGATGTGATACACAGTGACAAGAAACTTTTCCTTGTTTTTGAATATTTGAATCAAGATCTTAAAAAATACATGGACACCGCACCACCTTCAGGAATCTCCTTTCCTTTAGTGAAGGTACTCGCTCAACCTTGCAAGTCGTACAGTTTTTTTTGGAAGTCTGCCGAAATGCTTGTGGGAAAAGGAAACATTGTTTCCGCAACAGAAATCACACTTGGGAAGCAAAATATATTTCCGAATTTGTTGGGAAGTATTTTTGCTTCCGGAGGTCCAAATTCTGCTTCTACTGCTCGTATTTTGATGAGATATTTTTACTGTTTTTAGAATGTTTTCTTAACAGTGTTTCGCCGTATATCCGCTGCATTTGTTCCTTAGCTTAAGGCCCGTTTAAGCTACGTTTACACCACAGAGTAGTGACATACAGAGACGTAACTATAGTGTACCCACCTTTTTTGTGCGCATGCTCGGCAAGTTACTAGATGCATGCATCTGATTGGATGACAACTCACTTTAAACTTGCTGAGCACGCGCAGTTGATCATTTTTTGCCCGGTCGCCTGAAAAAAAGTGGGTACATGAAAACGTAAGCTTCCGCAGTGTTTACAACGGTCAGTCACGTCTCTGTATGTCTCTACGCTGTGTTTACACGCTGCGATTTGTCGTGTACGATTCGTATTTTGGCGTTGACATTTACTGCTGACGCCTCAATTCCTCTTCATTCAGATTATGGCGAAATTTGAAATGCGACCACTTTACACGTGCTTATTCGATTACATCATAGAATATACGCTAGAATACGAATCGTACACGACACATCGCATCACACCGGACGCGATTCGACAACGCGACGCGATTTTTTAGTTTGTGAAAGTTAATAAAACAGCCAATGAGAGCAAATTTTGAAAGATATGTAGAACAAATAACTCAAAATGTAATAGCGCTTCTAAGTATTTGGAAAATTTAAACTAGGATCAAAGTTATCGGTCAGTGAAAATCGAAAAATCGCGTCGCGTTGTCGAATCGCGTTCGGTGTGTATGGACCTAACACTTGCTGCGATTTCTGGTGCGATTTTCTTCTGATGAATGTGAACCAGTGGATGAGCTATTAATATTCTGAGTATATGTACTCTCATTCGAACATTCATAACTCATCCACTGGTTCACATTCATCAGAAGAGGAAAATCGCACGTGTAAACGGGCCTGTAGGGATTCTGCCTCCTCCGCAGGCCCTCGTTGCGTCATGGGAAGGTCACGATCTGGCGAGGGCCTGCGGAATCTTGTAAAAAAAATGGCGCCGGCGTCACGTCAGCAAGTAAATTTCTACATAATCCTGAATATAAACAAGATATAAAAAAGCGGCGTGAAGGAAGCATTTTTTAACGATAAGGTTTGTTGTTTGTTGCAAGAATAAAACTGCCTTCTTTAACGAAGCAGGTTCAAAACAATATTTATTCATTTTACAAGATTCCGCAGGCCCTCTCGAAATCGTGACCTTCCCATGACACAACGAGGGCCTGCGGAGGAGGCAGGTAGGGATTAGCGAGCAGGGGACTGGATTAAGAACTGTGTTTGTGTCAGTTGGTTGTAATCTTCAATTTGCCTCATGAGCATGGCGCTCGTGTAAGGAAGAAAAAAACTTTAAAAATCTTATGTTTTGTCATATGTATGACTTTTTAAGTTTTTTTCTTCCTTACACGAGCGCCATGCTCATGAGGCAAAATGCCGCCAGAATTAGTTATACCAATTTTCTGGTGACGTCCGTGTCGACCAAAACTGTTAACCTTGATATAACTTACTTTTCAGAGTTACGTGTACCAAGTTTTATGCGGTATCGCGTACTGCCACTCGCACAGAGTTCTTCATCGAGACCTCAAACCACAAAACTTACTTATTAGTCATGATGGTGCCATTAAACTGGCGGACTTTGGTTTAGCACGGGCATTTGGTGTACCTGTAAGAACATACACACATGAAGTTGTAACGTTGTGGTACCGTGCACCAGAAATTCTCTTGGGATGTAGGTATTATTCCACTCCTGTTGATATTTGGAGCATTGGATGCATTTTCTCTGAATTGGTACGTTATTAATAGTTATATTAAGAAGTTGTTGATGTAGTTTTAGAATTGGTGGTCTGAGGGCCTTAAGTTTATTTAATAGTCTTGATGATGTGCATTCAGTGCCGTATTTCGTATAATGCACCTTGTAGCTAGTATGGTCCCTTTGCATGTAAACCATGAATAACTGGATGGCATGGGCATGGAGGACAGTGATATCTTCAAAATGAGATTTTCAATGGTCGATCACTGAATTCTGGGGTTTCATTTGTCGTCACATTCACTCAAGTGGGTTCAAAGGGTAAAGGGCGGCTTTTATATTATTTATCTTGTTTTATATTGTTCTTTTATAATAATAGAACTTATTTGCATAAGATGTGTTGACAGCCATTTTGTTTCTTTGTTGTTTTAGTTGACCTCAGTTCAATGGTTGACCCCCACTTGAGTAAAATTATGCTAAAACATCACGTGATTGAAATCTAAAGAATCGCGACTGACACTATTGTTTTGCTGTGTAGTTCAAATACTGTAATGTACAGTTGATTCCATATAATTAGAATTGTGTAGCAACACTACTTTCAAACTTCTGTTATAGGTAACACGACGAGCATTGTTTCCTGGGGATTCAGAAATTGACCAATTGTTCAGAGTATTCAGGTACATATGTAGGCCGGTGGTTCATTTTTAACACTTTATCATGTGCTTCTCTGGTTATATAAAAAAATCTTGATGTGGATCGTACTACTAATGCATGAGTCAATTCCATGAGTACCAGGAATATACCTGGACATTAGCATTTTTTGAGAGAAAGGGCAAATTCCTGGCCGCGGGGAGACACCAAGAGGGACAATGTACGGCCCCTGCACAATCGTTAGATGGCAAATGTCCCACCTCTGGGATTAAAATTTTTTTTTTTTCATCATTATCGTTTAAACATCGCGTAATGCATAGCAAAAAATGCATGGGGGTATAAACCGTCCAACTTAAACTGTATTCTGGCATTAAACTTTGTTCAGTAACAGTGTATTAGCAAATATTATTTGTTTTGTTAACATTAACAAGCTTCAGCTAACAACTGACTGATCTCAAATTTTTTCGAGTTTTTTTCCCTAGTGTCAAATGTTCTGGGATCTTTTAGCCGTCAAACAATGCCCGGCCCCGGTGCACTAATCTGTGAGCAAATTCACAGCCCCCCTGGAATGACGTGCCCAGCAAATGCCCGGCGGTGTCCCGGGGGGATGGTTAATAAGTTGTATGCTCGAGTATGGAGGACGACAAACGAAATCTGCATGATTCAAGAGTTCTACGCTAAACCTTCTCAAAAAATAGTTGAAATGTTGCGTTGTACAATTAAAACCTGCATAAAAGAGAACCACTATTTTTGTCGAGATTTTTATGTCATGCTGAAGTGGTTCTTATATTGTATTATAGGTACTTATAGTGGGAAATTAGGCTGAATTGGTTCTTAACTGGTCCTTACTTCTAGTCAAAACAACAACTGTTCCTGGTGTATTAGGGGCAGACCATTGGAAAAGTGATGGGGGGGGGGGACTTTTTCAACTTGTACGAATATTTTTTTTATTTTTTGCTTGTGTCGATAGTTTTTGTATCTGCGCAGCAGATATACTATGCTATCGAGTTTGCTTTATCTGTTAGCTGTTAGCTTGCAGCCAATCAGTGTCAAGTATTTTAGCTTGTGACCGTCCCTAGCCAATCAGCGCACTATGCGGAAATGACTATTCAGTGTAGAACATATAGATCAGTGAGAAAATGTGACTCCAGTTTTGCGCAGATACATGTACGCGTAGCGTACCTATTTTTTTTTAAATATAATCCCTTGCACGAATTTTTTCAAACGTTTTTGGTACACGATTTTTTTTTCTTTCTGTTTCCCCTGCTCGATTTTTATTTTTGCTCTCCCCACATCATTTTTCTAATGGTCCGCCCCTTAAGCTGTGTGACGGAATTACGCTTATTATAATTGCTATAAATTCTACATGGTCAAATTTCTTTTTGTTAATAGTGGTACTCTTACCTTTTAGAACACTTGGTACCCCAGATGAAGTCAACTGGCCGGGTGTAACTGAACTCACAAATTACAAGTCGACATTTCCGAAATGGAAGACACAAGATTTAAGTAAAGTATTTCCAACACTTCCATATGACGCAATTGATCTACTTAAGGTATGCTTGTTGTCACATTTGACTTTGCAAAATAACGCCATAAAAATTAAAACCACCATTAAGCACCAGGTAAACTATTCGAAATGCGAGTCATTCACGTATGGCAGATACGATTATAGCGCTGCCATAATTAAGCCTGCATCGTATTAGAGGTTGGAGATAGTACTAAGGGGGGATAGGGACAGTACTCTAAGGGTGGATGATCATCGCGCATAGAAAAAGTCGAGTTAAGGCTGCATTCCAGTTACGCGTTTTTCATACGTGCGTACACGCACGTAAAAGTCGAATTCGCTTAAAATTTCGTATAAGTGCAAATAACCTTAATAAATACACATTAAATCATACACAAAACTGAATGCTGTCCTTTTATAAATTTAGTTATTTCATAAGTAGGATGTAAACGTATACTATGAAAAACACGTAACTGGAATGCAGCCTTAAGAATATATTTATAGTTGGTTCTCGCCTGTAAATCAAGAGTTTTTGTTCTGTTGCCTTCCCCTCTCACATAAACTAACCTTTTCCACCTGTGCTCCGTGATCGCATATGGGTCGTAAGGTGACCTAGTAAGCCTTCGACACTATCAGACGCTTGAGACGCTTGAACTGCGGCAGGCTTTTTTTTATAGCCAGGATGTGAAAACGGTTCGACCAAAAAATACCACCCATTTTCGTGGACGTGGCAAAAAATGGCGCTTGAAAGAAATTGTCATATGCACACAATTCGGTGTCTTTTCGACAATTTAGCATTCAGTTGCAGCAATTATAAAGGATGATTAACACCTCCTAACTTTGTTTCTTTTTTGCTTTATTGTAATGCATATATAATTGGAATTTGCATATATAATTCACTTGATGATGAGACGCAAACCAAAGCGCCTGGGTACGAGGCAGTATGCGTCCGTAAGTTGGAACGATAGTAACCAGGCATGTGAGTTGCCCAAAGTTGTTGATTAAGTTATTTTTTTATGTATCGTTTATAAGTTATTATAAATTAAATTTTAGAAAATGTTAACATATGAGCCGAGTTCAAGAATATCCGCTAAAATGGCAATGGCACATCCACTTTTCAACGATGTTGTTATCCACAGCCCGTCGTAACCAACCATTCATCACTCAAAGTGTATAAACAAGTAAATTATTTTGAAAATATAGCATTTTAAGGACGTTAATTCCTTATTGTAAATTGTGCATGGCCTTTTTAAAACAATTTATATAATTAATGAATTATACCATAACGAATAAATTATAATTTACAGCGTGCAAATGTTAGAAATCTATTCTTTTATTTGTTTAAACAAAGTTTGTCTAGTACAATATACTTCTACAAAAAAATGTTTTTGAATAATTATATAAAAATATAGATCAGATTGAGATTGACATTCTAGTGTTGTCTACATAGTTAAAATACTCATTTATAATTTATCGGATTTTGCCACTTTGTGGCAAATCATGTCACGTGAACTGACTTTATATCAAGTGAACTGACTTTATATCTGATCCTAATTACTATTCTTATATAAAGAATACTAATGAGACGGCATCTTTTGTAGTCAATGTTAAGCTATTCAAAACACTCGTCGTGTTTTATCAAATCTAAAACGCTCGGCTGTGCCTCGCGTTTTATATCTGATAAAACACTCCTACTCTTGTTTTAAATAGTACTAATTTTCTGTACATCCAGAAATAGATCCACTGGGGGGAGTGCTTTAACAAGTTTTTGATTTGGCAAGGAAATATTCTATCACAAGCTAAGCCCACCCTGGCGGACCATAATGTGACGGTTAAACACGTCAGGGTGACCGTTGTAATCGAGAGTATTGCTGTATCTCTGCAGTTAGCGCACCAGTATATTTCTGATTTGCATGCAACACACAAAACACAGGTACGATTTAGACTGTATCGCGTCGTCGAAACCAGACCTTGAATCATGGTTTCCATTTGGTCGTTACAGTCCCAAGCATGACTAGGTACTGTAGCCGGCGCCGATGTACTGGGGTGTCAGTACATCTCTGTAGTCAGTCAAGACCGCTGTGTATACTACACACAAAAGACAAGATAGATCCCGACGACATCAAATGGAAACCAGGCTTAAAATTGTCCATACCTTCTCCCAGTAGTTAGTGCGTATGACGTCATTGTTATCTGGATTTGAGACGAAATCACAAGTATGCAGTTTGCGATATCGCAGTGTAAACTTTTGAAGAGGACTCCTCTCGAAAAGACGCGTGTTAATGTATTTAAATTATGGTGTACATTACTTCGACTAAATCAAATAAGTCTCTGTCTTGTAGTTTTCTTGAAGTTGATTTATACTGTGACAAACACATGAAGCTGACAATCTGGCTTCAGGATCCTCATCCAAACACTGGCTTATCAATTCCTTCAGTTCTTTCACACACTATTGATAAATAACAAAATATTTTCCCAACTTGGGTTAATTTACCCCCTACATACAAGGTAGTACATACAAGGTAGCTAACGTTACAGGCTATATCACTGGCGGGCATGTCACAAAATTAGGTGATGCAAATTTAGGTTGTTAATATTTTCTCTCTATAGTCCATACTATTATCCAGTTAACATTTTCTGTCAACATTTTCAGTTTCGAAATTTAATGCAAATTTCGAGGGGCATTTTACCCCCAAATCCGGTACACTTTGCCAAAAAAAGTCCCCTAAAAATCCGGTACAATTTTGAAAATCCGTCAAAATCCTAATTTAAAAATGCGTTCAAATCCTAAAAGAATCCGGAAAGTAAAAAAAAATCCAGTCCACAAATCAAACAAACTTTCTTTTAAAAAATCTAAGAAAAATGCGTGAGAGATCAAACAAAATCCACTAAAAACTCTTGAGTGGAATTCCCCTCTGCAAATTCGCTTATTCGAATACCTGGCTAGTAGTTAGTTAATCAGCTATCTTTGTGAAACATTAAGTCGTTCAAGGTATTCGGAGGGGTCATCCCCTAGTGTGACCATTGCAACCTACATACCAAGAGCAGTCCTCGCATATTTACCTGACTTTCTATGTTGCAAGTATCTGAAAACGTGGGATGCAGCTTTTGTTTCACTATAACATTCTTTACGTTCCCATTTGTCGTATTATCACTGCTGCCAACGTGGAACTGAGGCAAATGACATCCTAGGATCTCAAGACCTAAGGAAAAAGAGTAACTTATATTCTATAAAACAAGTTATTCAGTTAAATTTAACATATCAAACAGTTTGCCAGAAAACGATAGCTTTTGAACGAAGGTTTGCTACGGGGCCTAACTGTCGTTCACACGACCATGATCAGAAGACAGCTAGGACGTGTTGCGCAGAGGACATTAAGGTCCATTTCCACTTAGGAACATTTTGGAACAATTTCCACTCGGGAACAAAATGTTGTAAAATGTGATTGGCCAACACAAATTTTCAGTCGGAAAAAAATGTTGAAGTTGAAATTTTCAACTTTTAATAATGATATTTTCGGAAAATTTTCTGTCCGTGGAAATTTTCTTGAGTGGAAATGGGCCTTTACATGGGCTTCGGTGGCGAAGTGGTTAGCGCACTTGCCTTTCACCTCTAAGGTCGCAGGTTCAAATCTCAGTGAGAACTTCTCAATGTGACTCGAACCCAGTCCTCATGTGAAAAGAGTAAAAAGTCAACGCTCTGCCGAAAGTCGTGGGTTTTCTCCGGGTACTCCGGTGTCCTCCCACAGGGAAAGTTGACAGGGTGGGTTAAACTCGTAGGTCAGGGGGCAGATCATTAACGAGGTATGGACTAATATCGGCTGCTTAAAGCGCCATTTGCAAGCTCACAGTCCACCTCGGTCTGCTTCACGTCAGTTCCGGTTCTATCTATCTATCTATTCAAAATGTAACCAGTCACTGAAAAACCCTTATAAGGAGTGTGCTGTGCGATATCTGTACATGCGTTGTGTCGTTGTGAGTCAAAATTGAAAACATTAAAAATACCTACCACTGCAAACATCTGAACATCTGGAAGATATCTCCCACAAAACTGTTCCTAGCGCATAAATGTCGATCTGTTTTAGCTGAGTTGTAATATCATCAAGATTAATGCGTCCCTCTAACATTTCTGGTGCCATGTACCTTGGAGTGCCAACCTATATAAGAATGCATATTTAGTGCACTTAGAGCGTCTGTTGGGGTACACGTTGCTGAGTGGTCGACACAGCACTCTGTGACAGATCAAGTTCCATTTCTGCAATATAGTATCAGTGTTTAGTTTGGAATTATGAGTGCTGCAGTTTCAATTAGAACTACCAAATTTGCATCCCCAGAATGGAAGAATGTTCCTTAACAAGTTCAAAAATATTCTTTGTTTCTTTGGTGGCAGAAACAATGTTAATAAATAGAGAGCTTAAGCTTCGCGTTATACGGAAAATGGCAAACGCCAGACAAAGAAAATTTTTACTGTATCAGGCAATAAAAGTAAATGAACTTGTTTTTTTAAAACTGCAATGTATGATTATTCTTTCCACACAAGAAATAAAATATGAAACGAAAACGTTCAACGAAAATTTTGCCAAGAAGGTTCGAACCTGCCGTTTGCCGTTCCCGGAAACGTGAAGCTTAAACTCCCTAATATTTCAAATTCGGAGAATTACTGTAAATACGAATCATATTATCCCCCATTTTTGCTAAACAAATTGCCCCTCCACAACAGTAAGCTCTATAGATCTGGAGCGAGAACTAGGTTCAGTCATTCGACTAAGGCCGTGAACAGTTTTCATACCATTTTCCCCAAGCAATTCTATTTTTTTCTAATGGATCGTATCGCTATCAGTTCATAAACCATTCAAATCAAAGTCAAAACACTAAATTTCGGCACACTAGTCCTTGCAGCTTTGTGTCAACCGCGCCGACAAAAACAATAGAAAGTGACGTCCAATAGCTCCGTCTTGGTTCACTTTTGGACTCGAGTTCTTAAGCCTCCGTTCCATTCATCGCAAAAGTCAACTCGCTGCGATTTCTTTCAACCAATCACAGTGACAACCTCGTTCCCAGGGTGAGGGAAAGAGCGAATACCCTGGGAACGAGGTTGTCACAGTGATCGACAGTTATTGCATAACTTATTGATTGCATAATCCTCGTAATTTGAACTATTTTAGTCTAAGAACAAAACACAAATTTAATGTTAACTTCCAGACAGAACGACATAGGAAAACTTTTATTGTACATAATTCATTAGAATACAATACAATATCATAGACAAATTTACTCGGACAAACATGATAAATAAATTATTTTTTTAAACATTTCATATATACTTCATAAAGTCGGTCCCTTCTTCCCTGAAACAATGTTGATGAACACTTCAGTCATTATGGCAACTATTGCGGTATCTGTAGCAACAACATTGTAACGGGGGAGCGGGACTGAATACGGCTGAATGTGCGTATAAATATTTGATTGCCTTAATTAAACTTCAGCCATTTTTAATCAGCGTCCGCATGTTATTTGTCTAGGATTGTAGGTTATGCCGATCTACGGACAATTTTACAGTGCGTCTACTGTAAGTGGGGCCACTTAGATAACACTAACCAATCACATTGCAGAACAAAAATAGAAAGCTAATCAAACTGCAACTCGTCCAATCAAAAGAACGCAGGAAGCCAGTAACTGCAGTGTTTACTTTTCAAGTCTATTTTTACCGTTCGACATTTGTTCAAATTGTTTTTGGCCTAATGCTGATTGGCTAATGCATCGTTTGTTGTTTTTTTCTACTTTTGTTCTGCAATGTGATTGGTTAGTGTTCTCTACATGGCCCCACCTATACTGTATAGACGCACTGTAAGAAGCTTGAAAAACTCGCTATCCGGCGGATAGCGCTCTCCGGTCTTCGTACAACCCGGATATATATGGAGCTCAGTACTGCTCGTCTATGGTGTATACCTGTTTGTAGTCATTGCTGACAGCAGAGCGCTGTTGTATTGGCATTACCCGAGCGAGTCCAAAATCACACAGAACACAGGTGTCATCAGCCTTTACAAGAATGTTCTCACTTTTAAGATTTCGGTGAACAATACATGAAAAGCTTGTTTTTTCTATTGGGAAAGTAAAATCAATATGACACGGCGGAAACGCATTTAATTCCGCATCCCTTATTTTTCATAGATTGATATAAAAGTAGTCGGGCAGATAGAAGGAAAAAACCTACCATATCGTGGGACAATTCCATTTTTCCTTCATATTGTGCCCTGAAGGCTAGTAAGTACGTTTCTGTATGTTGGCCGCGTTAAAATTTCTTGTGGGCTCCTGCCGACACGTTTTTCTTCGAATGTTGTATTAAACTCTATTACAATTTACAGTTATATTATAAAAAATGTGAAATTCAAATCCATTTCTAACACAAATGACTTACATGATTTGAAAGCTTGCAAAAAAACTATATATAAGACATTTAAACGGTTACCCGGGTTTTTCAAGTTCTTCTTTAGTTATGAGCTGTTGAATGCGTGTTTTCAGACTAGTATACCCATGCAGGAATTTTGCGAGATTTTGGCTTATTTTTTACATTTGAAACAGCAATAACTCGAAAACCGCTTGAAAATCCCAACTAACCATTTAAATGTCTTATATGTAGTGTTTTGTTAGCTTTCTATTGATGCAAGTTATTTGTATTAGAAATGTATCAGAAATTTCACATTTTTTAATTGTAATATAGAGTTTAATTTAATACCAAATTCGAAGAAAAACGTGTCGGCAGGAGCCCACAAGAAATTTTAACGCCGCCAACATACAGAAACGTACTTGCTAGCCTTCAGGGCACAATATGAAGGCAAAATGGAATTGTCCCACGATATGGTAAGTTTTCAATAATTTTGGTCCTCTATCTGCCTGACTACCTCTATACAAGGGAGTTATGATTTCAGTCTCTCTGCTTTTGTTTGTTTGTGTGTTTTGTTGGTTTTGTTTGTTTGTTTTGTTTTGTTTGTTTTGTTTGTTTGTTTGTTTGTTTGTTTGTTTGTTTGTTTGTTTGTTTGTTTGTTTGTTACCATGATATTTCAAAACTGAATGTTAACTGACGGCCTTTTCTCGCGATCAAACTAATTTGTTGAAGTTGGATGAAGAATAAATGAAAAAATGACAAAACCCATAAAATATAGATTAATTTAAAATCAAACCTATTTAATACAGCTTTAAGCAATTTAATTTGTTACCTTGTTCTCCATGGAGATATGCCAGTGCTTCCGCTATACTCTTACCCATGGTACACATCGTTTGCCAGGAAATAATGTTGGATTGTAAAACATGTCTTAGTGAGCCTCTTGGATGATACTCCGTTAGAAGAATATAGCTCAAATCCCAGGTCTTTTCAAGGATACATTCTCCAAAAATCTGAAAAATTAGCAACATGAAAGTGATTCAATAGATTTTATTATTCTGCAGCGTTTACAAATATTTTGGTTAAAATAATTTCCTTATTTTCATATATTTTAAATTTTATGCCAAAAGACAAATTTTCATATACTATAATGTTGTACCATGCCTATGAGTCTTAACATATCACGTACACCATTCCATCACTATACCATATACAAACGCACCATACCACGCATTCAGAGACAAGAAAATTAATATATCGGTTTTCAAATTACGAAGAATGAGATTCTGCAGCCATTCAGGATTTTGTATTTGCAGAGCTACCAACCTTTAATATCCCAGGATGGTTTAATCCAACATTGTAGATCTCTCTCTCTTGTTTCCAACTACCATAACTTGAACTACGAAATTTCTTTATGGCGACAGCTTTCGTCTTTACTCTTCCATACCAAACTTCACTAAATTTCCCCACATAGATTCGGGAAATAAATTTTGGTCGTTCTGTTAACAAGGGATGCTTACGAGAAATGATGGTAGAATGTCTGTCTTTGTACGTTATTTTTCTTTTACAAAATAAAGTCCTACATGCTACTATGCATGTTAAAAGTAGCAGAAAGGCTCCAGCAAGAATCATTCCAGCCAAAAACAAGACATTTGTCTGCGTCAGATGCTTGTATTCTGTACCTGCATTGCAACAAAATAACATAAATAGTTCTGTTAGTACATCGGCGATCCTGTATTTGGGCCATTCCTGTTAGGCAGTTTAGAGTATAGAGTAGTACTAGCTAACAGTACGACCGTACTGGAACCATGTTTACATAATTACCTGTCGATTGAGCTGAAATATTTTGTTCGGCAGTCGGAAATGCATGTTTTGTTCTGAAGTTACTGTTGCATAAATCTGCTTGACAACAACAGAAATGAATATTGCCAAATGAATGTTGCGATGAAAGACAATTTGTAGTATTGCATGATTCTTTTTCATTGTTCTCATAGCGCCAGCAACCACGCCTTAAAACTGTAACCAATATTTTTCCATCTTTGATATCTTCCTTCCACAAAATATAACACATTTTATCCAATTTTTCACACATTGCTATGTCAGTTGCGCCCTCATCTTCGAGGTTATGTAATTCACTCGCATTGTTTGAATTGATAGAGTACTGAAGGCATAGTCTTCGAGGCCGAGAAACGAACTGGACTGCAAAAGAAGACAAAGAAAACACAAGTTTTAATAATTATCAGTTGTCTCTTCCATCTTCCATAGCTAACCATGACCATTATTACTGAAACATATTGGTCCATGGGAGAGAATGATGCCAAATGTTTCCATTACATATATGTATTTGCCTTAAATACCAGATCAATTAATGGTGCAATACGTTCTAATATATAATGCAAACTATCAAGACATTGTGACCGTATATTAAGAATTAGGAAATTCCCTGAAATTCCCGATGTACACCTCTAGCCTCAAGCCTGGAAGGAGATGGGTCTTCATCTAGGAGAGTTATGACGCCGGGTGGTGAAAGCCGAAAGTCTCTGGAAGCTACAAGGCCGATTACCCTTCTTTCGACCAGGAAGATCAACATCGGAACATGGAATATGTGAGGACCATGTACGTGACAGGGAAGACAGCACAGGTATAGCAGCAAAGATGAGAAAAAAACAACTTGACCATTTTAGGAATCAGCGAGTCAAGATGGACAGAATCCGGTCAGAGGGGACTCGCCACAGGACAACTGCTGCTGTACTCAGGCCATGAAGAGGAAGACGCTCCACATACCCATGGAGTGGCCCTGATGCTGTCTAAGCCTGCACAGAGAGCACTGATTGGATGAGAAACCCATGGCCCAAGGATCATAACAGCAACCTTTAGGACCAAGAAGAAGAAATCAACATGAACGCCATTCAGTGCTACGCCCCGACAAACGAGAGGGACGAAGACAGCAAGGACCAGTTTTACAGCAGACTGCAGACAATCGTAGAGAGCTGTCCAGGTAGAGACTTCACTATCATGATGGGACATTTTAACGCCAAGATCGGGAATGACAACACTGGATGGGAAGAGGTCATGGGCTGCCACGGACTTGGGGACATCAACGACAACGGGAAGAGATTTGCAGATCTGTGTGCATCACACAACTTGGTCATCGGTGGAAGTATCTTTCCTCATAAGCGAATCCATCAAGCGACGTGGGTGTCACCTGACCAAACAACAGAGAACCAGATTGACCACCTGTGTATCAACAAGAAGTTCCGGAGATCCCTCCAAGATGTGCGAGTCAAGAGAAGAGCTGATGTAGCATCAGACCATCGCCTTGTAGTAGAAATGTTGAAGCTGAGGAAGAATTGGACTGGAGATCAAATACACTGAAGGAAGTTGGGCACAGGATTGTTGAAGGAGTGACCAAAGGAAGAGGATACACAGCCACACAAGTTCCAAGTCTTGCAAGAACTGATGGAAGTAGAGATCATAGATAGTAAGTGGCTGAAAATCAAGGAAGCTGTGACATCAACCTTTGAAGAAGAACTGGGGAATAAGAAGATACAACACAAGGAATGGATTTCTGCGGAGACCTTGCACAGGATCCAAGAAAGGAAAGGAAAGAAGCCAGGCAACAGAAGCAGAGCAAGCTGCGTACCAAGAAGCTTTCATGAAAATACAGCAAGCCTGAGAGACCAGTAAAGGAAAAAGACGGTAGATCAATCATCGGAGAAGAAGGAGAGAGAAGACGGAGAGAGAAGACGATGGGTGGAGCACTTTGAAGAACTCCTCAACAGACCAGCGCCACAGAATCCACCAGACATCCCACCAGCTGATAGAACCTTGCCCGTAGATTGCAACAAGCAAACCAAGGAAGAGATCCGCAATGCCATCAGACAGCTAAAGAAAGGCAAGGCGGCAGGACCAGACAAAAGCGCTGAAGGCCGACGTATAAACTACAGTGGAGATGCTCTACCCCCTCTTTGAGAAGATATGGGGAGAGTAACAAGCTAAGTACCATCAGAGTGGAAAGAAGGCTACCTCATCAAGATCCCAAAGAAAGGCGACCTTAGTTCCTGCGCAAACTACCGAGGAAAGGTTTTCAACAGAATCGTCCAGAACAGAATGAAGGATGTCGTAGACACTCAGCTCAGAGACCAGCAGGCGGGCTTCAGGAAACACAGGTCATTGCGACACTGCGAATCATCCTGGAGCAGTCCTTAGAGTGGAATTCACCTTTGTTCATCAATTTTGTTGACTACGAAAAGGCGTTCGACAGCCCAGACAGGGGGGCACTCTGGAAATTGCTGACACACTACGGCATCTCGGACAAGCTGACCAACATCATCAGGAACTCCTACAAGGGAATGAACTCCTACAAGGGAATGAACTCCTACAAGAGAACACCTGCAGGGTGGTACATGGGGGACAGATCACATACTCTTTTGAGGTGAATACCGGGATCAGGCAGGGCTGCTTGCTCTCGCCTTTCCTTTTCCTGCTGGCGATCGATTGGACCATGAAGACATCTAGGAAAGCGAAATGGAATTCAGTGGACTCTATGGACAGAACTGGAGGACCTCGATTTTGCAGATGACTTGGCTCTCCTGTCCCACACTCAGCAGCAGATGCAATGGAAGACCAACGATGTGGCGACCACCTCTGCACAGCTTGGACTGAACATCCACAGGGGGAAGATAAAGGTCCTGAAAGTGAATGCGGACAACACTCACCCCATCAAGTTGCATGGAAGAGCAGGTCCTGGAATAAGTACAAGCCTTTACCTACTTGGGCAATGTCGTCGACAAGCAAGGTGGTACAGACGCCAATGTAAGAGCAAGAATCGGCAAGGCAAGGCAAGAGCAGTGTTTGTGCAACTAAAGAACATCTGGAGTTCAAAAGAGCTGTCCCTGAAGACCAAAGTTCGACTGTTCAACACCAACGTCAAGTCAGTCTTGCTGTATGGGTCTGAGACCTGCGGACAACCATCAAGAGAGTTCAGACTTTCATTAATACTTGTCTAAGAAAGATCCTCCAGATTCGCTGGCCTGACACCATCAGCAACAAAGACCTATGGCAGAGGACCAACCAGACCCCAACAGACGAAGAGATATACAGAAAAGAAGATGGAGATGGCTGGGACATACACTGCGCAAACCAACATCCAACACCACAAGACAAGCCCTCACATGGAATCCTCAAGGGAAAAGGAAAAGAGGCCGACCACGAAACACCTGGCGCCGAGACCTAGAAGCTGACACCAAGAAGATGGGTTACACCTGGGGACAACTTGTGAGAGTGGCAGAGGACATGATGATGATGATGATGATGATGATGATGATGATGATGATGATGATGATGATGATGATGATGATGATGATGATGATGATGATGATGATGATGATGATGATGATGTCTAGAATCTAAATAAAAAACGCATTATACACCTTGATAGTTAATGTCATAACTTTAATGGCATAAAGTGTAAAGAGGATGAATTCGAAATTTCGAACTATATTGAGTATATAACATACCCGACATCTATAGGCAAACATTGGTCAAACCGTTTAGTGCGTCTTCTTGTGCGTCTTACATATAAAGACGCGCATAAGACGTATTATACGTTCAATTCAGACAAACTATCGGTTCGTACTGGCAGTGCGCCGTTCTATTTAAACTTAAAATAATCGATATTACAGTGAAAATACAAAATGTGTTCAATTGTTCTGTTTTTCTGTAGCGATTACATTTACCGATTTATCGGCAAATACTGCGATAAAATTTAAATTTCGTACCTTTTATGCAATGAACCTATGTTATATTTTTATTTCCCTTTGCTACAAATTATCATATTTAAAAATGGAGAAAACTAAGTTTTATTGCGGTATTTGCCGATCAATCGGTAATTGCTACAGTAACACAGAACAAATTACAGTAAATCACAACAAACTACGGAAGCGGGACACTTTTTGTATTTTCACTGCAAATGCTTTTTAAATTCTATAATTCAAAACTGTGCCCGTCTTTTCCATAATTTAAGTGCCCGTCTTTTCCATAACTTCCCGTCTTTTCCATAACTGCACGTCTTGTCGGCCATAACTGCATGTCTTTTCCATAACTGCCCGTCTTTTCCATAAGTGTCCGTCTTTTCCATAACTGCCCGTCTTTTCCATAAGTGCCCGTCTTTTCCATAACTGCCCGTCTTTTCCATAAGTGCCCGTCTTTTCCATAAGTGCCCGTCTTTTCCATATAACTGTACGTCTTTTCCATAAGTGTCTGTCTTTTAGTGTCCGTGTCCGCGTGTCCGTGCACGCGTTTTCCAGTACACCGCGTAACGTTAGTCGTTAGTTTTATGACAATTGTCATGATAATATCTATCTATATAACTTGTATATATGTATATACTAGCGTCGCTTGGCAGTGTTTCTTTCGTGCAATTCTATACACAAAATGTGCAGTTTTCAATGGATTCTCGTAGTTGTAAAAATAAATGCGCAGTTATATGATTAGCTATAGTGATTTGTGATTAGTGCTGCAGTGATATTCAATGCATGAAGTGTGTATTGAATTTGAATTCTGATAATTAAAATTCGAATTCCTCCTCCGAGCTATCCAAGAGCTCGAGATCTCCATATGATCTCCACTTTGTAGGTCGATGACACCCGCGTGTATTAAATAAGCCATGTTGCCATGTGTTTGGTTACAATGCAGAAATTTGGTAAATAACATCAAATTTGTTCGAATAGAGTTTAACGGTACATAGAATGCATGGCTCTACTATGCGGGGGGGGGATACCCTTGAATGATGAGTGAAAATCACTTGACAGTACATGATAGTCATCACTATATAAACTGGAATTAATTTGACAAGTTCAGTAAAATACTGCAATATAATTTTCCTGGACATATGTTTCCTGCATGGGGACATTTTGAATTTCTGTTGGTCATTGCTTCCGTTTCCTACATGATTCTAAGTGTGTACTGATAACTGATAATGCAAGCCAGGCTGTTTTACATAAGGTGCATGTGTAATTAGGTTTACTATCGAACTTTCACTCGACTTGAAATATATATTGTCAAATACTTTGTGATCAAAGAAACTTTAATTGCATATAAAATAAGCCTATAGTATAGAATGTGTTCTCAGGCACGAATAATGACCATGTGAAATTAAGATGTTTGCCGATAAAAAAATTCAAAATGCTCCTAAAAACAAGAGCGAAAATCCATTCCAAAAACTGGATGGGGAAAGATGCCTGCATGCCAACAAACGTAATTTATTATAGATTATATTATGAATGTCCATAAACGTCCCCCCGTCCTCCCAGCTAGGATTGACGCTGTTGCCTACAAATCCGCCGTTTTGTTGAGTTAGTTTAGTAGCTACTGACAGAGAGAATACGACATTGGTGTAGTAACACCTAATATAAAGAGATACGCTATGACTAAAGCCCCGTTTACACCATACGCTCAATTCTGCACTTATGACTACTTATATATAAAAGTATATATAAGCATATCATCATAGCCTAATTAGGGGCAGCCATGATTACGGGATATCGACATCACATCATATCTATGTGAAAATAATATTGAAAACCTACCTGGTTTTGTCGATATAGAAAGCGAGATAGAAAGTAAAAGACATGCAACTGTGAACCAATAAACCCCATTTCGTCTTCCCATATTGTCCATATCTTTGCAGTCAAAGAAATAAGTTCAGTTTTTCCGGTTTCACAATAACTGGCTACTGTAAAATTTTAACGAACTCGCCGTAGAGCCTGTTAAATGTCAAGGATCAAGGAAATTCTCAAGATTGAAAGATCAATTATTCTCAGTTCTTTCTATATTATTTCAAATCGGTTATTGTACCATCACGTTGCCAGGACAAAAATATTTTGAGGCATATCTGAATATAAATCAAGATCTATTGACAGTATTGTTGAATGCATGTTGTTTTGAAAATTGAAATTTGATTGTTGCGAAAAACGTGTAGAAGCCCACAAAAATATGCCTAATAACTCTGATAAGAGCGACATGTTTTGTCTTTCATATTGTTCTCACTTTGTTTTGTTATTTTGTTTACATTATGTGATTTCCTTTTGTGATATTCGATTTCACAAAATATGAATTTCTGAACATCATCATGCATGACTATTTATGAAAGATATGGCGATCAAGCATCTACGTACGTCATAGAGGAACTAGGGGTTACTACCGCAAGGAAAGTGCTGCTTTGGATCCACAAGCAAATACTAAAATGTTAAATATATCTGAAAACTAATAAATACATTTACATATAACCACACAAAGAAACACTGCATGTATGTATGACTTATGTTGTTGCAAAAATTGAGATTAGGGACCGGTCATAAAGTAGAGGGGGGGGGTGGGCTATGAAAAATTGGGGGTGGGTCACTATTTTTCAACACGTCGAAAAGGGTGGGTCAGGAAAATTTATGCACTGCATTAGGGGTGGGTCAGGTAAAATTATTCACGTCTCACAATTTAATAAATAGCAAATAAAAACTTTTGCGAAATCTCTTTAACCTATTAACTTTATATATTAAACAACAGGAATTTACATTTGTATACAGTACATTGGGAAGTGTTCTAGTTACCATAGTCTACTCAATGTACTGCCATGCATTATGTTTGGACATAGTTGAATTATGTTCAAGAGTCGGGGGCGTGTTACAACATTTCAATCTCGGAGATTTTTCGGGGATTCTGACTAAACTAGTAAAGAATCGTGGTAAGCCAATGCTGCCAACGTACGCGCACCTATCTACATTACCGTACAGTACATTATCTACATGACGGGGGGGGGAGTCACTAAGATTTCTGCTCTAATCTAGGGGTGGGCCACCTCAATTTATTGTCACAATTTGGGGGTGGGTCACTGTAAACCAGTCTTTAAAAAATCAATTTTCATAGCCCACCCCCCCCCTCTACTTTATGACCGGTCCCTTACAACACTTTAAAAACTGACCATACAAAAACTATTTCAAGTTTACAAACTAACATATCAGTTCAGTATATACAAATTAAAAGAAGAGAAGGAAGAAGGGAACAAAGAAAGGGACATGTGAACTAAATGCACAACATGTCAACATACAATACACGCACGGTAGAGGTAAACACACACATGGACAGAACTGACAATGAACATAAAAGTACACGAGCACAGACACGGTCACCGACAGGCACACGATTTGAATGAACATGCCCTGTGGCAGGGGCAATCACACCAAATCACACAGAATTTCTTGAAAGAAGTAGGACTGGAAAATTAGGGGCTTCGGTGGCCAAGTGGTTAGCGCACTTACCTTTCACCTCTGAGGCTGCAGGTTCGAATCTCACTAAGTACCTTCTCAATGCGACTCGAACCCAGTCCTCATGTGAAAAGAGTAAAAGTCAACGCTCTGCCGAAAGCCGTGGGTTTTCCCCGGGTACTCCGGTTTCCTCCCACAGGGAAAGTTGACAGGGTGGGTTAGGTAAAAAGGGCCCACAGTAATTGGCATATGCTGTTGTGGTGACCCTGCCCTAGTTGGCAAAGCTAAATAAATAAATTAAACGTGTTAGGATGGACTTCTTTACATAGAACGTTCCAGGACAATTTAACAATACCATCTTAAACACTAAAAACCTGACTAAGTCGTGTACGACCATGTTCAAAAAAAGACACACGAGTCATAACTGTTTATGTTAATGTCAATATTGGGCCATTCCATTTAATATCCATCCCCATGGATGAAATCAGTAAAATTTTAACCCCTAAGCAAAAAATATGAAAGTGCCGACAGAAAACTCCCTTCAGAAATTTGTAAGTTTTCCCCTTACCCCTCAGAAAAATTGCAGAGATCAAAGGATGCCAACAGGCTTAATGACTTTGTAGTCACCCATCAGAAAAATTCATCCATGGGGCGGGGGGGGGGGAGGGTAGACGTTAAATGGAATGGCCCATGCATAGCCGTAAAGTGTCTTGCCCAAAACTTTGATGTCTAACGTAACAGAGGGGTACAAGTTCCAATGTCAGTCTCTCTTTACTGTCATTTCTCAACAATCCATTTCTGTGTGATATTCCAGCTATTACATACATATTTTTTTGAAGTAACAATCCATAGAATATTTCGAGCTGTCAGGATGGCACGACTTGTTGGTGTATTAAATATTTAAATCAGTACATAAATTCCAATGACTTTGTGCCTGTGTGTGCCTCATTGTCCTCAATGGGCTGCCCTACAATGGACCATAGACACATTTTTTGCTATTAAGGTTCCAATGACCACATGTTATCTGAAATAACATAATTTGGAATGAAAACTGGATATTATAGAGTTCACTTACACTGGCATTGAGTAGATATCATATTTCAGGATGATTGAATGAATATAAAACCATGCGGTTCTGATATAATTTCAAGATATTTTGCATATGCAAAATAAAATGCCATATAAATACAGATCAATCAGTGTATTGAGCAATCATGATCAACTATTTAGAATCAATACGTTAACTGACAAAAAACGAACATTCACAAAGTAACTCAGAGCTTGTATAAAATATATAAAATTGATACGATCATGTTACGTCAAGAATAGTGTGCTGCTTGCCTAAAGGCAAGCAGCAATTACATAATTAAAAAAAGAGCAAAAGGATGCATTTGGAAGTCCACACACAAATGCAGTAAATTTCAGTGTTTATCTCTTTCACAGTATCTCAAAATCGCTCCGAAAAAAATCCTGCAATTATCCATGTCATCATCTATATCTGATGATGACGACCGTCCGCCATGCAATCTCCTGCACTCTGCATTGCGCGTGACTGATAAGCGGCGAGTTGGGACAAATTAAGTATGTTATTTCTGACAGGACAGAAATGGTAGACTGAGTCTCTGTGGAGGAAAGGGGTTCCAAATAATAGATACAAACGTCGCGAGAATCCTATAGAGGGTCAAGGGGTCCGGAAGCATGATCCCTCGAGGAAATTCCTGAATTCTAGGGCTACAAAATACAGCAGCACGTCTTATCTGTTCTAACCGTGGTTCTATTCCTAAGCATGATCACATCACTCCGACTCTCATCAAACTACACTGCATGGCTTCCTGTTCGATTAAGGATCAAGTTCAAAATTGCCATGCTTGCTTTTAAATGTATCCATCAGTGTGCACCTAGCTCTCTATCTTGTCAATATTTTAAAAGTAAGAAAGACGTCGTGCTATAGATAGTCTAAGGTCTACAAAAACAAAGAAAACACTCGGTGACAGAGCATTCGTAACATGATCTGCTCCAAAAATCTGGAATGAATTACCTATGTATATAAGAAATCTGCATAACTTTAGTATTTTTAAGAAATTAGTTAAGACTTATTATTTTCGGAAGAAGCCTTTAACTGATGTAAATACTTCATGTGACATATAATCTATATAATCTCGTTTACTTTTAGTTAGTAACCATTCAGCGTAGAATAATTTCAGTGTAATTATGTTTTGTGATGCACATTTGATCACATACTAGCGCCTATATAACATGTTAATTTGCGTAATATAAATATTAAATATTATTATTATTGTCTCTATTTACTAGCTGACACTCAATCTTAGAGAAGCATTTCAATTTAATAATGAAAGACATAATACATACTATCTCAGAAATAGAGATACTGA